CTGACCGTCGCCGACGACTATAGTCCTTCCGACCTCCGTCATCATAATACAGTACTTCTGACCTCCATTGTCATACGCAAGTATTTTGGACCTCTGTCATCGCCCACAAATTATGGTCTTTTTGACCTCCGTCATCAGACAACGATTTTTTTGACCACTGTCGTCACTGGCCAACTACGGTCTTTCTAAACTCTGTTGCCCACCGACTATAGTCATTTTGACATCCATCACCAGACTACGATCCATCAGACCTCCGTTGTCAGACAACGGTCTTTCCGACCTCCTTCGCCTGCCACCTACAATCCATCCGACATCTGTTGCCTGCGAACTACAGACATTCTAACCTCCATCGCTAGACAATTATCTTTTCTGATCATTGTGCATGTCGACTACGATACTTCTGACCTCCATCATCATACAACGATCTTTTTTATCATTGTCTCTCGCCGACTACTATCCTTCCAACCTCCGTTACTAGATAAAGGTATTTCTGACCTCCGTTGTCTGCCGACTACAATCCTTCCAACCTCTGTCTCCATACAACAATTTTTTTATCACCATCACCCATCGCCTACGATCCTTTTGACCCCCATCTATGTTCATATACAATGGTCTTTCTGATCACTATCGCATGTCGACTATGGTCCTTCTGACCTCCTTCATCTAATAATGAACTTTCCAACCTCCGTTGTCTATCCACTACGGTGTTTCTGACCACCGTCACCCGACTATGGTCTTTTCGACCTCTGTCGCCCGTCGGTTATGGTCTTACCAAACAAACATGTTAATATTGATTCTTCATATTTCCACCATGTAATGCACTCTATATGATGTATAATTGCTACATCAAACTAAGGCATTCCCTCAAGGAAGGGCCATATTTATAATTAAGTGCAAACACTAGTTGATTCATTCAAACTGGGCTAGGCCCGTGGGTTTTCCCTCTTTTCATGGGTTTCCATGTAAAAACTCTTATGTGTCTTATGAATGATGCATATCTATTTTTATATGATTATGTATTGGATTTGTGTACAAATTTATGCGCTAAACTTTATATTTCTCTACCGTCACAAATATTCTCGTATGTAACAAGTCCATTTAGCTATTATTCCTATTCCATCAGTAAACCAACGAAGATGAGAAGAAGATGAGAATATGGGTGACAATATTCAACACAACTTAAAATCTTAACCCTAATTCAACCTAAAATTTTTGGGTCTGGGTCAACCCATTTAAAAAATGGGTTAGGGTTCATGTTTTATATTCTGACATGATTATATTTTTGGGTTAGGTTAAATTAACTCAAAAACTAAAAATTGACTTGGGTCAACTCAAAAAAGCACTCATCCCGTTGTCTCGTAATTCGTGCTCGCACATTAAGCTCATGTATAGTACTTGTGTATCGAGCTCGCCTTGCTCGCACATTACGTCTGCCCATGCATCTCTCCCACTCGCACCATGGTCTTTTGTCACACTCCAGGATTTATTGTAATAATTAATATGTCTTTCATTTTGATCATTTAACTAGAGCTTATAAATAAACATAAATAAGAATATGATTACATTTTTATCTTATTCGGTGTCTCATATCATAAGATAATTACACTTTCATAAAAATATGTAAAACTACTTAATGAGCATATAGTTCATCAACTAAGTAAAAATTTATAATTGAAATCAATGCAGAATAAAAGAAAATAATATGCTATAAATCATATAAATAAATATATGCATTAGTGCCTATATTGATAAATTGTATCAAAATTTTCTTCTATGGTTCATCACATCTCAATTCATTATATCATCAATCATAGTAACAATAACATTTAACAATAATAACTAATAATGTTAAATAGTATTAATAATAGAAAATATTATTAATGTTAGTCACAATATCATTACAATGTTCGTAATATTATTGGTATGAGTATTCAAATATTAAATTAGTATATCTTAAGGGTATCTTATTCGTGCACTTATGACTCTCAATCAGTTTGCCCTTATAACTCCCAATTAGTGTACTCCTTATAACTCCCCTTGAATCGAGTGGATCAGTCACCCTGGCTCCTTATATCTCCCAATCAATCTCTAGTTCCTTATAGCTCTCAATCAATGAATCACATGGATCAGTAAGGTATCACGTAGATTTATCATATCATGTATCTGATATCATTTAATATTTAATTTAAAATGCAATAAAATTATATCAAATTATTTAAAATGATCAAATATGTAATATATCCAAACTTGCACGGTGAAAGCTTATGAAACTGAGAGATAATATATTTTTGACAGTTTTAGAAGAGATAAAATTCATAGAAATCAAAATTATTGAAAATAGAAGTAAGATATTAGTCACTTACAACAAATAAAATAAAATCTTTAATAGGAATGACTAAAAAAAACGATCAAAAGACCTTTCTCTATCATCTCTCTTCTTCCCCTCTTTCAATTTCTTACTAGCCAAGCAACTAAGTGAGAGAGTCGATGGGGTGAGGTGTGGATATTTATAAAAATATTTAAAAAAAATATTATTCATGGCCTAACGCCACACAGTGCTCACCAAATCAGTGCTAAAGCTCTCTACTTTCATAATTTTCATGCTTTCAAATAATTTTATTTTAAATATTTGAGTTATTACAAATGAGTCGGGTCAGGTTGGGTCGTGTCAATCAGGTTCAGATAGGGTTGGATTTAATTCCATATTTCTAATCCATTCAGCTAATTGGGTTGGGATTGGGTCAGACAAGTTGAAGCCGAATTAATTTCGGGTTGGACCCAAATTAACCCAACACAAAAACCCATTGTGACACCCCTAGACGGCAAGAGAAGGAGAGAGAAAGATAACATAGATATTCAAAGGTCGTAACTCGAGATTCATTCGTTGGGCCACTAAGGGAATCATCATACTCGAGGTAGGCTCTTAATATCCAATTTTAAATTTTATTTTTGATTTCCCTATGAAAATATCAATAACAAAAAAAACTTTTTAGTTAGTATAATTAAAATTACGCAGTGTGATTTATGGTATGTCATAGAATGCTCTGTTTTGATTGTAATAAATAAAGCTTTCTCTGGTTGTTTTCTCCTAAATGAAGTTATGAGTATTTTATGTTAGAACTGTTATGATTGCACTATTCTTTGTACTATGATATGCATATGTTCACGACCATATTCGATATTTTGCATACATGTTAATTATTTAAAATTCTACATTTGCATTATGATTATATGACAAATGTTCTGATATGGGAGACTGATGAAGTGCACTCTAAATTCTATTCTAAAGACCTGGGCCACCTGGCTTTCTATTATGTTATGATTATGATTCTCGCCCCATTAGTCCTAAATAGAAGTGGGAGGTTATTTCTAGCCCCATTTACTTTATGCATGGTTGGGAGGTTCAAGCGAGATAAGTGAAAGTGAAATTATAGGAGGACTGGGACGATCACGATCTCCTTCACCTAGCGGAGGTTGATTGTGGGAGATACAAGTGGAAGTAGAGTTATAAGTAGAAATTGAGACATGCATATCACTCTGCATATATATGTTTATTTTGTTTTATAAAATAATTTGAAATAAAAGATATTATAATAAATAGACAAGTCTAATAATAAAAAATGATGTTTTGAAAATAAATATACTCCGCTATTTTTGTATAAGTACACTCTAATGCTTATGTGAAAAATATGAAATGTAAGAATATATTCTATTATGTTATGGCAACTATTACTTTCTACATTTATGTGAAAAAAGCAAGAAAGATGTACTTTTGAGATAAGTAAACTCTAACATGTAAAGTAATAATTATTTTTCTATTTCTTAAAATTTTCATTTAAAGTTTTATTTATAAATTTCAAACTATGGCTATTGATTTATATAATATGACTTGAGAATGTTTCCTGAGTTGAAATAATCATCATGTTGATATTTAGCATTTAAGAGAAAAAAATAATGTTTACAGAGCGAGATTGTAGGAAACACATCGAATAGAGTTTTCGCTTAAAGTATTTAGTAATTCAGCTTCCCTATTTCGATGTATAGAATCAACTAATACTAGATTATTTATACATGAATTTTTAAGTATATTTTTTTAGAAAAAAATTAGAAACATTTCTATTAGAACTGCTGCATATCAGAATATTTATAATGGTAGAAATAGAGTTTAATGTCTTAACTTTATATGAATATCTTATACACTCAAATGATGATAGAGTAATAATGATTGGATGATGTTTGTTTTTTAATAATAGTCGAACGATAATAATCAAGCATTGACAGTTGCTAGCGGTGTTTATTGACATTGATCATCAAACATGGCTCTATAATTTCTTAGATCTCTAAGCTTTCTCAAAATTCAACACCGTTCCATATAAAGAATTGGAATTATGTTATAACTCTTCAAAGTGATAATTTCATAATTTTAGTCAAAATCTTTAAACGCTTTATTAGATGGTCCCTGTGAATTTCTAGATCGAAGAAAATTATTTTTGCATAATCGAGCAACATTTGTCTTGTTGTATTCCTCTTATCAAGACACTCGTTTTAATTATTCTAACTCAAGCCTAATAATTTGTTTGATTTTTAAATTAATTTTATAAAAAAATCAACTATGTTTCAAATGCTTGATTTGTGGTTACTTGGACTTGGATCAAAACAATTTAGTGACATTGAATGTTCATTTTGACTATACATTTATTAAAATTATAGTAAAAAAAATTCTGATTTTAAATATGAAAATTTCTAACTAAAATATCTCAAGGAGCTTCTTATTTTATCTTATGAAATTTCTCGTCATCAAGAGCTGATCTAATTAATTTATCAACAATCGAGTAAATAAGGGAATTCTTTTCCCAAATTTCTAATATACACATAAAATTTTAAAATAAGATATTATTAAAAAAAAAAAGCTTCAAGCCTTCAACCAAACCATTGAGAATTCCCGGAGTTTATGAAGTTTGGACTTTGGACACCACCTGCTATATATTTTCCACGTTGCGGACGTTTGTTTTTCTACTTTCTTCGTGCCTGAAGTTCAAGCCATCGCCTTTTTCCTCCGGATCACTTTTTTAATTTTTTCCCATATTTATTCCCTTTTTCTTTCATTCTTCTCCATCACCCCATTAGTTTTCGCTACTTTTCGCCCCGCTCTGCAACGTTCCCGTTTTTCAGAGATGTTCAAGAAATTGGTTTCTAGTCGGAAGCAGAAGGGTCCTTCGGCTCTCTCCACCTTGGAACGGCTACACGAGGTTTAACCTTTTACATCCATTTCACTCTCTCTTTTCATTTATATGCATATTCCTCTCATTGCTTTGAAATGTTTTCCACTTAACATGTTTTGTTGTTTAGCGCTGATGTTAATGGGAGATTATCATAATTTGTTTCCGTTTTTTCGTTGTAAATGATGAGATCCCGCGGCTATTGGGAATAGTAGAATGGTTTGAAGGATGGCTTACTTTTTTTTTTTTTTTTTTTTTTGAACTGTTAAATTCCTATCATAAGCGCCGGAGAAGTTAAGGGCTCTTTGGTTACATGAAGGATTTAGTAAATCTTGTAAATCCCGATTAATTAAATCCTTGAGGTCTTAGATCCTAAGAACTGTTTGGAATGATAGATGTTAAATCTAATCAAATCTTAATAAATTGTTTGATATATATTTTAAATATTTAGCTTTTAAATGATGGCGAATGAACAGCACAATGAGTTGAAGTGAGGTAAATCTCTTAAATCTTACTTTTCTTAGGATTTTCTAAATCTGGGATTTAGCCTGAAACCGGAGGAAAACGTTATTTAAAAAGCTAGGGAAAGATTTAGCTTAAATCCTTTCTAAATCTTGGCTAAATCTTGCAACCAATCAACCTCTAAAAATTTTATCTTACCTGGAAAATTTGCTCTTTGATTAGTTTTAAAAACCAAAGAAGGATAACGATTGGTTTTAGCGCTTAGGTCTGTGCCATGTCTTGTTTACATGTGATGGTGATCCCATTTAGAGCATACTGGCTTCTTATTATCTAAATAAGAAACGTAGTTAGTGGCAGAGTCACGGCAAGAACCGTGAGAAGGAGGAAAGCGGAAGAAACAGATCCAAGAAGATTAAAGCAGAAAGAGAAATGTTATTCATGATCTAAACTGTACAGATAATACTCAATATAAAGAGTGTTACAATGGTAATAAAGTAAATAACTAACATAGTAATGTTTATATTCTAATATCTTCCCTCAAACTAATCATTCGAGGAACGGATGGTTAGTTTGCTGCATAACTCATTGAAACGAGCAGTAGAGAAAGACTTTGTCAAGATATCCGCGATCTGATCTTTTGAAGAAATGTGAGTAAGATGAATGTTGCTGGAGCTGATATGCTACTTGATGAAGTGGTAGTCTATTTCAATATGTTTTGTTCGGGCATGGAAGACAAGGTTCTTTGCAAGAGCCATGGCCGAAGTGTTGTCACAGTGTATGATTGTTGGGAACTGTTGTGGAAGAAGTAGCTCGACAGCAAGACGGCGAAGCCAAATGACTTCGGAAGTGGTGGCGGATAGCGATCGATACTCTGCCTCTGTGGAAGATTTAGCAACTGTGACTTGCTTTTTGACGGACCAGGAGATAAGAGTTGGTCCGAGGAAGGTACAAGACCCGTAAATGGATTTCCGATCAGTAACATCTGATGCCCAGTCCGCATCGGTGTAGGAGTGAAGTTCAAGCGGACCACGCTGGATTGGAAGACCAAATGTGAGTGTTCCTTTGACATACCGTAGGATGCGCTTGAGATCTTGAAAATCTTGTGTAGTAGGGTCCTGCATATGTTGACACACCATGTTAGTGGCAAACGCTATATCGGGTCTGGTGATAGAAAGATACTGAAGAGCTCCTGCTAAACAGCGGTAAAGGGTTGGATCGTGAAACGGTTTGCAATCGATGTGGTTGTTCTTTGCGGCGGAGATGCCGGCGTCGGAGCGGACTTGCAGTCTTGAAAGCCAGCATCATGAATTAGTTTTGAGGCATAGTGCTGTTGGGTAAGAAAGTAGCCTGTTGAGGACCGGAGGACTTGTATGCCAAGAAAGAGAGAAATTTGTCCTAATTTCTTAAGGACAAATTGAAGCTGTAGCTGTTGAAGGAGCTGCTGTATAGCTGTTTGATCGTTACCTGTCACCAGAATATCATCAACATAAATTAAAATGAATATGAAAATATTGTTATGATGAAAAATTAGTAAAGATGGATCAGAACGACTAAACCCGAATCCTTTTGATTGAAGAAAGGTTGTTCGCTTCTTGAACCATTGGCGAGGAGCTTGTTTGAGTCCGTATAGGACTACCCAATTTGGGTGATGTTGATCGACGAAACCCGGCGGTTGCTGCATGTAAATTTCATCCGGAAGATCACCGTGCAAGAAAGCGTTTGAGACATCTAGTTGAAGAACTGGCCATTGTCGATTTACGACGAGCGTTAAAAGCAGGCGGATTGTGAGTATTTTTGCGACGGGACTAAACGTCTCCGTGTAATTGATGCCGTAACGTTGATCGTATCCGAGTGCTACAAGTCTGGCTTTGTAGCGGTCAACCTGGCCGGTCGGTAGAAGCTTCGTTTTGTATGTCCACTTGCATCCAAGTGCCGGTTTGTTCGGTGGTGCTGGAACAAGAGTCCAGGTACCAAGTTTTTCCAAGGCATTAAATTCATCTAGCATGGTCTGTTGCCAGTGATTGTGCTTGGCGGCTTGTTTATAGGATAGGGGGGTGACAGGAGCCGTCGTATGACTGAAGAGATTTAAAATTTGTTTTGGTTTTGAAATTCCTGATTTGGGTCTCATTTGCATATGGTGAGTGGGTTGAAGCAAATTGAGAATGGGTTGAACGGTTGTGGTTGTAGTTGTGTGAGTGATGTCAACTTCAATGACTGGGTTGTGCCGTGCATTTGGTGGGATGGAAAAAGTGTGTGTAAGAGGAGAAGAGGGCATAGTCACGGGTGAGTGTAAGTTCTGGGTGGAAGTGGAGACCGAAGCAGGTGTAAGAAGCGGTGAAATGTGATTCGGAGGTGCAGCCATGTTCATGGACAGAGACTTATGTGGAGATTTGAAGGGAAATGTCGTCTCATAGAAAATCACATGACGAGAAATAATGGTTTTGCCAGTAACAAGATTAAAATATTTGTATCCCTTGTGTTGTGATGAGTATCCAAGAAAGACACATTCTTGGGATCTCGGTTCTAATTTGTTGGTAGTGTAAGGTCGTAGCCAGGGAAAACAAAGACATCCAAAGGTGCGTAAATGTGCATAGGTAGGGGGCTTACCGTGAAGCAGTTGATGTGGTGAGTGAGACGAGAGCGAGGTTGAAGGTAGTCGATTTATGAGGTAGTGTGCTGTGGAGATAACATCAACCCATAACTTGTTTGGAAGGCTAGGGGCGTGAAGAAGAGTGCCAGTTAGTTCAAGTAGGTGCCTGTGCTTGCGTTCGGCGAGACCATTTTGCTCTGGGGTGTGAGGGCAACTGAATTGGTGAGCAATGCCATTGTCAAGAAGGTACCAGTGAAATTCATTGCTAGTATATTCGCCACCGACGTTCGATCGGAGAACTTTAGGCGTTTGATTATATTGAGTTTTTAATATAATTGACATAATTTTAAATTTGGAGAGGGATTCATGCTTAGTATGCATGAAATAAAGCCAAGAATAGCGTGTAAAATCATCGATGAAGACAATGTAGAATCGGCAGCCGTCTGTCGAATTTACAGGAGCAGGCCCCCATACATCGCTATGAATTAAAGAAAACGGAGAAGTAGTACTAGAAGAACTTTTATTAAGGAATTGTTTATGGCTTTTGGCCATATTACAAGATGTGCAAATGAAACAGTGTGACATCTTGGTTAAGATCGGGTATGTGCTGAGCTAGAATCGGCATGAGCTTCGTGTTCGGGTGACCCAGCCGGGAATGCCAGAGGTGGGAGTTCTTTGTGCTGGTGGAGAGGGCGGTGTGCGACTGAGCCGGTGAGGGTTGGATCTGGTAGAGACCGTTACGAAGACGCCCACGAAGAAGCGAGCGTTGATCCTGCAGGTCCTTGATTTCAAACCCATTAGAATCAAAGCATATAGAAATTGAGGTGTCCGTGGTTAGTTTTGAAACCGATAGTAAATTATGTGTTAAAGACAGAACATTAAGGAGATTGCGTAGGCGAAGCTTACGTGGCGTGTCGGGAAGGGGAAGAAGGCCTTGGCCAGAGTTTTGAATCGGAAGAGGTGCACCGTTGCTATAGAGACAGTGTTCTGATCGTGGTAAGGGTTGGAGGAATGAAGATTCTTGTCATCCGGCGTTAGGTGTGCGGATGCGCTGGTGTCCAGTACCCAATCTTGGGTGGTAGTCGGAGATGAATTTGCAAGAAACGCGTGAGGAGGTCGGGAGATGTTCGGAGCGTATTTGAAATTGCATTTGTGCCAGCAATTTAGTGCGACATGTCCAGTTTTGCCGCATATTTGGCATAGAGGTCTCTGTGCCGTTGGAGCGGGATTTGGCGCGTATGAGTTCACTGGATTTGCGGAAGAAGCTGGAGCCGGTCTGCTCTTTGTGAACTTTTTCTGATTTCTGCCTTTGTACTGGCTGGACGACGTGGCATATAGAGCATTGACAGCCGATCCGGAGGACTGTTCTTTGAGCGATTCTTGTTGTAGATGAATTTCCTCATTGCACAGCAGAGCATAGAACGTGTCCAGATCAAGAGGTAACTAGGATGTGCGAATGGAGGTCTTGAAAGAATTGTAGGTAGGAGGTAGACCGTTGAGAATGTGAATGATCTTATCTTCGGGATCTATCTTGGATCCAGAGGCGGAGATGTTATCCACAATGGATTTGATGTTGGAAAGATATTGTTGAATGCTCAAATCTTTGAGTTGAACGTGGTATAGTTCGTTCTTTAGCTGGATGACACGGGATCGGCTAGTGGGTTGGAGACGACGTTCAAGAACCGTCCAAGCCTCATGAGTGGTGGTGGAGGTGATGATGTAAGGAAGAATAGATTGAGAAATGGTAGAGAATAGAGCTGAGAGTAGGTTACTGTCCGCCGTTTGCCAGATCTTGTATTCGGCGGCGGAGTTGTCCGCCGGAGGAGTGGTTTGTCCGGTGAGATGCCCAGCGTAATCATTTGCAAGGAATTATTGTAGGATTTGAGTGAGCCAAATGGGATAATTTTCAGCGGTGAGGGGGTAGGGAATAAGGTTCTTGATATTGGAAACTAGGAATTTGAGGTTGGCCGGAATGCTGAAAGCCGTGGAGTTGGACGCCGAGAGGGCTGCGGAGGTGGGAGGGAGAGAACTAATGCATTCTTGATCTCCCATGGTGGCTCTTGATACCATGACAGAGTCACGACAAGAACAGTGAGGAGGAAAGCGGAAGAAACAGATCCAAGAAGATTAAAGCAGAAAGAGAAATGTTATTCATGATCTAAACAGTACAAATAGTGCTCAATATAAAGAGTATTACAATGGCAAGAAAGTAAATAACTAACACGGTAATGCTTATATTCTAATAGTTAGATGATATTGCAATTACACAGACTGGTAGCACCTTTTTGAAAATACAAATTAAATTTCCTATTGGAATTTTCCATTTTATTTGCGTTTGTGTGGTGGGATGGGATGGGAGAGTTCAGGTGGCAAATTAGCAAATTTTTTAGCGGGCATGGCGAAGGTTTTGAATAATTTAGGGTACCAGGTTTTGGGAATTCTAGGAACAATAGATGGATCAAATATTCCGATGGGGGTGTTGAAAAGTTATTATGGTTTAGGCTAATACAGTGATTATTCATGCTTTTGGTGGACTGCTGGGAAATAGCACAGAGAATTCATCAGATAAACACACTTGCTATCAACATCTTTCAAGAAGATATATGACTATTTTGTTATGAATAGTTTCAAAGTAATGCATCCAATGTAAAGTTAAACCTGACCAATTTGGCTGTGTTTATTTGAAATAAATTGACCAAAAAGATTTGCTTGATTTATATTAAATGCAACTACTTTACATCAAATAATTACCAAGACAGTAACTTCATTTTGCATTTCTTTTTGGGCATTTTTTAGCAAACCAAACAATCTCTTCTACTATCAGCTTTCAAAACCCGAGCAAAATGCCTTTTTTAATGCTTCAGTAAAACTGCAATCTTACCAGGGAAACAAGTTGGAAGGCCATCTTACTTTAGACTACTGCATGTTCTGAAGTTCAATGCAAACGATCCATCAACATTCTTTCCTACTAGACTCTTACTTTTCCCTTACCCAAAATTGTTGTGACATTTTTTTCTTACTTTTACCTTTTTGCTTCTAGACAAGCAAGTAGTCAGTTTGTTCTATGGATTTACCTTTTATCTTTGACGATATTATTTCACAAGACTCTTCTCGCTCAAGTAAGAAACTATCAACCTAAATGCAACCATTTAATTTATAGGATCCATATGAGAGAGGTTTTCATAATAGTTATAAATGGATCTATTCAACATGATTTGCACAATGTTAAGTGTCGAATCAAAATTTCATTAGCTATATTTGATAATACATGGTCTTTATTTTCCAACATTAGTGTCAGCCAGCTCAAATTTCATTCATATTTGATTTTCAAAGATGGTTGTTATCCTAACTCAAGATTAATTCATTCATACTTAATTTTTAAGGAGCGTGTTTGTCTATCTCAGCTTCATTAAATTTAAGCTTGTTACCTACCATGCTTAAGTATTATATCAAGAGATGGTTGTATACAGTTGAAGCATCCTATAACAAAAAACAACAAAGAGAGGAGAGGAAGAGAAAGAGAGACAATAGGGGTGCCATTCGAGAAATAAAAGAAGAAGATTTTTTAGGTGCTTATCTCGGGATTTCTTTGTTCTCCTAGAACGAAGAAGGGTTGCTATTTCTAGTTTTAACAAGAGAGTAAGTTCTTCGCTATAGCAAGAAGTATTTCTCATTTGGACTCCAACAATATAGGAGAAGAGTAATTAGAGCAACAACAAGATCTCCTTCTCCACATCTAGCCTTTATCTTTTCAATTGGCGATTACATTTTTTCTTAGCTAAATGAAAGGGTATCTTTGCATATATCTTCAATTTTATATGAAGCATAATTTTTCATATTCCTTTTTTAAAGCTTTATGGATTATTCAATTTTTGTGCAATCATGGGATGTAGGTTTATTTAAAGTTGAACAACGTAACTTTTGGTGATCTTTTGTGGTGCTTAATCTCTTTTGCAGTTATTTTGTAGTTTATCGTTCTTTTCCTAGGTTTAGGGATCTTTTTTTACTAACAATTGGCTTGAGAATGAGATTATGACAAGCACAATGGCTATGAAGTTTGAGATTTAGAAGATGGCTTAAAAGTTTTGGCCTTTAGAGAACCAAGATGTGGGGTATACTTATCTAATGGGGACTCGTAAAGGCATTCATGGTGCGTAGCAAGATGCCTAAAATCATGAGTTAAAAAGGCAAGATAGAGATGGATGAGAAAGTTCTCCTGGTGGTTCAACTATGTTTAGTGGATGAAGCATTGACATAGGTCTTAGAGTATACAACTATAAAAAATTTGTGGCTCAAGCTGGAGTTTGTACATGACCCAAAGCCTTTCTAACAAACTTAATCATAAGCATAGACTCTATTTGATTTACTTGTAGGAATACATGTGATGTGAAACTACTAGAAGTTCACGAGAAATTAATAAGAGCAATTGTTACAAGCTTTCCAATACAAAGTTATCATTCACAACAAACAAAGATTTTAGGAGTTCGTAATTTTCGACTTGCTTAGGCAAAGAAGTACACATAAATTAACAAGACAATTTGATGAAATCCCAAAGACGAGAATAAAGTCATGAGCGCATTAACAAGAATCATAATTTAATAATAAGAGATTTCATCTTGAGGATCTCCTCACTCAAGCACTCGTGGGGTTAGCGGAAGAAGATGCTCTACTAGAGAAGAGACCACCACTAGGAAGAAGGAACCTAGGAACTTCGTTGTTGGAAAGGTAGCCGGTGATGGAGGAGTGGATCGTCTGAAGAGAAGCCAGTGTGCTATGGGTTGTTGAATCTCGAATCTCGATCGTCTCGGTGAGGTAATAAATGATGCTGTTGACTTAGCTTTCCACCGAGTCGCTGTACTCCCAATCCCGTTCGTAGAAAGGAGATCGGAATATGTCGATTTCTCCTTGTGCGTTGTAGGCAAAGCTGTGGTCGATCTGAGGATCGGCCATACACCAATGAGACGAGGGAGGGTGAATATTGTCTTCTTCTTTTGACTTCCAAAGACATAAGAAGTGTAGGGCTCCAAGGGGAAAAGAGACAAGTGGGAGGGGCGGCTTGGGCAAGGTGAGGTGGGGTGATTGAGATTGGTTGAGTGGTGGAGAGTTAATTTAGTAAATTTTGAGTTCAATTTCAGGCTTTTCTAATGGGAGGGAAGAAGCTTAATTTGAATTCAAAATATTCAAATTAAACTTATGAGGGGGCCGACAGTTTTAGGAGGGGATTAGGGGAATATTAAATGAGATTGGGATTTAATTGGAGAGAGAAAAGCAAGGGGAAGGGGCCGGCCATAGGAGGTTGGAGGGAGACTGTCTAGATTCAATGTATGTGGTCCCAAGAGAATTAATTGGGTTGAAATCAAATCTGATTTTCAATTTTAGATTTGATTAAAATTAGGATAGCTTCCTAATTGGGATTTTACTAATAGGAAGGTATTTGAAATTCAAAAGTTTATTGAATTCAAATAAATATCATTTCCTAATTAGCAAGGGGGTATTTTAGGATGGTAATCAAAGGCAATTTGAAATTTGAAATTTGAAATTCAAAATTTTTGGGAGGCAAGGTGGCCGACGGGTTAAGCTAGGGAAGGGGGGAGGGGGGGGGGGGGGGGGGGAGCCGTTGGGTTGGAGAGGCTGGCCGTCAAGTTGGGGAAGTGGCCGGCGGTCTTGGTAGGGATGGGGAGGGCGGCGAGTAATGGGAGCGAGGGGGAGGGGTGCCGTCGGTTTGAAAGGTGGGGGAAGGGTTGCCGGCGGTATGAGGGAAGGTGGGAGGAGGGAGAATATAATTAAAATAGAAAAACCAAGAGGGTCACCCTTGGGCGGGCTGCTGGGTACTCGGTTGGCCTCTCCTAGGCTTCACCACTCACATGAACTCATAAAGAGATAACTAAGAAAACAAGCTAGAATTTCATTTCATCAAATCATCCCCATTACAATAGAAGATACCACAATATATAGACTTAGAGAAATAAAAACAACAATGACTCAAATGTCCCTTGGACTACAACTCAAGCAAACTCAAAAGAAAAGGGTACAACCGTAAATAGCAAATAGTACATAAAAGGCATAAAAAATAAGGACATTGAATCGTAGCCATCGATCTACGATTCCTACGCTGATATACTCTTCGATAACGTCTGTCGATGTCCTCATCATTCTCCCCAGGTGGGAGAAATCTCGACCCCGTCGAGTGTCTCTAGAGCTCTCGTACAGCTCTAGGAGGTCTGGGTCTAAACTCTATTGCTCCTCTTGATCAACCCATGTATCATCTGTCTCTGGTGTTCCTTTCCAGTGAACTAAGTATCTTCGGCGCCCTCCTTCTTTCGTAGAAATGATCTCATCATCTAGGATTGCTTCGATCTTCTCTGCATTGGGTAAATGAGGCAAATTGGGAAGTGGAGGTAGGCTAGGGATCTCATCAGGTGGGGTCACACAAGGTTCATTATGAAGTGGATTATTGGGGTTAAACACGGGACCCTCTAAGGCTACTAGATATTCTATATTAAATGGATTATTGGTCTTTATTTTCTAATATTGGTAACTACCAGCTCAAGATTCATTCACACATGATTTTTAAAGATGCTGGCTAGCCAAACTCAAGATTAATTCACACATAATTTTCAAAGATGGTGGCTACCAATCTCAAGCTTCATTAAATTCAAAGTTGCTACCTACCATACTTAGGTCTTAAGCACTACATAAAGAAATGTTTGTATTGTGTTGAGGCACCCATAACAAAGTAATAAAGTGAGAAAGAAAAGAGAAAGGAACGGGGTGCCATTCGAAAAAGAAAAGAAGCTAATCTCAATTATTTTACCATTTTATTTTACTAAGTTCCACATTAGCTAGATTAGTTAGAAATCATATCTTCATCCATAGGATCCAAGTACTTTTTTGTGGTGAGTTCAGCAGGTTTTTAATAATGAAGTGTTGTTGTTTCTGTTGCTGGCAAAAAATGAATCCCTTGGTAATAGTAATGAATAATTCTCATTTGGGCTCTTGCAATATTGAGGAGAAGAGAGCAATTAGAGCAACTACAAAATCTCCTTCTTCATGTCTAGCCCCTATTTTTGCAATAGGTGATTGTGTTTCTTTTAGCTGAATACAGTGGGATCTTTCTCTATATCTTTAATTTTATATGAAGTGTAATTTTTCTTATACCTTCTTTGAAACATAATCAATTATTCGATCTTTGCGCATAAACATGTAAATTTTGGTGTTCTCTGTTGTGTTGCTCGATCTCTTTTGCAAATTTTTTGTAGTTCAATAAATTTGCCTCTAGGTTGTGAGCACTCTCTTTTATAACATGCAGTCAATATCTCATGCAACACATAATCGAAACTAATGGAGAATGAGGGTTTATAAATGATGTAATCAAAAAATATAGGGGGCCTATATTTTTTGATCACAGAAAGACACGACGGACTTCTACCGACGAAAATGACTAAAGACGAGAAAAGGGACGAACAAACTCTTACATTTCAAATTAAAGAAATAAAAAGAAATTAAAATTACAAAACTCGACTCGATCTCACCCCCCCCCCCCTTTGTCTACATCAATAAAGCTACTCTTACTATTTCTGCTGAAGCTATTGATGACAATGATGATGATGGCAATTACTATAGCCTCTGGTTTCAATCTGAGAAGAAGCATAATAATTGAACTTTTAGCATGATATTTTGTAGTTTGAGATCAAGAGTAAAGGATTCTTCTTGTGGATTTTCCAGAATTTATTTCATTGTATATTAGATGCCGTGGACTTAAATCCTATCTTCATTACTGATGAACTGCGCTTTGATTAGAGGAAGAAAGAGGATTGACTGCTTAGCTGATCTTCGATTGCAAGGATAATGATGAAAAAACCTTCTTTTCAGGCGATCTTAATAGTATAAGAAAATAATGTAAAATTTCGTTACATATTTAGAAGCTATTGCATATGATGAAAGCTTGGTTTCTCCTACCTATGTACTATTTTAAATGCCCTTCATGACATGTCTTTTCTTTGTTTGATTTGTCACTCCTGTTTCTTAGACACTGGAAATGTTGGAGAAGAAAGAGCATGTTCTTCAGAAGAAAATCACTGCAGAGTTTGAAAAGGCTAAGGACTATACAAAGTTAAAAAATAAGAAAGGTTTGTACTTGTAAACAGTTGAAAATTATTTGTTTTTAAGTATTTGTGTTTTTTATGTGTCAGTGTTACTTTAACTGGACTTTCTTTTGTTTGCTGCTCTAATAAGGCTTACCTTTTTTTAAATATTTATTTATTACAAAAAAAAAAAAATAGCTTACCTTTTCTTAGGTTTCATTCTAACTTAAAAATAAAAAAATATTTCAAAATGATTAAAGACTCGGAGTTGCAAATTTTCTGATTTATAAGGCTTATATCCTCATTGTTTATCCATATTCAGAGAGTTTTCTGCATGTTGAGTGAAATTTAAATTCTTTTCAGTTTTTATGAAGTTGAACTTAAAAGATTTCTCTTTAATGATAATCTCATGGTTAAGTGGGATAAAGGCTTGATGTGTTGTTGTTCTTGGTTGTTGTTGATAATATCATGGTTACATAGCACTTTCATTTATAGGGAATAGTATGGGAATAACCTCTCCAAGGGTAAACGGCTAGGCTAATATGGAATCAGATTATTTAAATATAATAATCATGCGAGCAAATCCAATTGGTCTAGGATTTGGCTAAGCCTTCTAAGGCGAGAGAGTGGAATCTTCAGTTGATCACATGATTTATAATGAGTGGAGGCCAGCTATGTATGATTAGATATTATTTGAAAGTTTCTTTATTTCATCTTCATCATCAGATACTTGTCATAGATCATGTAAGGGATGGAAATACATTCGATTGTATAAACTAGCTTTTATTATTATTATTATTATTATTTATTGTATCAACTAGCTTAATCTTCACTATGTCCTTGCTTGAAATTAGATTCATGTGCTGTATCAATTCTTGCAGCTGCAATTCAGTGTCTGAAGAAAAAGAAGTTATATGAAGCACAAATAGAGCAGATAGGGAACTTTCAGTTACGAGTTCATGATCAGGTTTGATTGATGTTGTGTCGCTAGTAGTGCATTCCACTTTTGAAATGAAAACAATCTGATATATTTGATTTGCGTTATCATATAGATGATTATGCTCGAAGGTACAAAGGCAACAACAGACACCATTGATGCTTTGAAAACAGGATCAGCTGCAATGAAGTCCTTGCAGAAGTCGTTGTGAGTCTCCATATCTTTCGAACAGCTTTTTCCTTCGAATGCCTTTTAACTTGATAAGCTTGATGAAAATTAGAATGCACAATAAACATTATGAAGCCAAAAGAAATGGAAAAGTATTTTCGCCAAGGAAGTAAATGCCATACATCAAGTATGTGAAATATGTTGGTGTTGAAGTTCTAAGTGGTTGGTTTATGTTTAAACTTTTGGATTGAAAATGGATTTGGCCATGGTGAATTGTGTCCAACTTCCCCCCTTTATTAGAAGACTTTGTAGGGAAGGTAGCTGAAATGAAAAATATGAATAGAAGATGATAATGCTATTTTAATAAATCATCAAGAGAGAGTTTTGAGAATAGCATTTCAATAAAATAACAAATGAAGTAATTAGCAATTATAAATAGGAACTTGTTTAATATTAGAGAACGTGAACTTAGTAAAGCTCTATGACTATTGAAGATGCATGTTGAGATTCCTATGATTATAGAAAACTTGGGTATTTTTTGGCTAACCAATATATTCATTTGGATTATAGTGATAAAGAGAATGCAACGGGAGACAATATATTTTAGTTATTGTAACTAATTTGAGGGGCCTATAATAATTGTGCTAACCATGCTAATCAAGTTTATGGGTGTTGCTACTGAATGATGACAAAGATTGATGGAAAAAAGTTTGAGAGACTGCAAAAATATCAGGGATAAATCTGATTTTGTGATAGAAATGGAGATTATATTTGTGTTGAGGCATTTGAATTGTTGTAAGAGTTAAAAGAGCAAAAAGGTAACTTTATTTAATCTTCATCAACCCTTAATGATATGGAGATTACTTTTGCATGAGATTATTCTTCTCTAACCATGGTGTCTTCCTCTTCCAACAATCTTTGTTCTTGGCTCTTAGCTGCATTTGTTTTATTTATGATGGATGCGATTTATGCCTCCCTTCCACCTCCTTTTTTGATAGTTATTAAAATTAAGAGTTGTTATCTGCAAAATTTCATGCACATGTTGCCTGATTCTGTGTATTCCATAATAGATTTGCATTAGTAACCATGAATCCTAAGATGTCCTCATCAAATTTTGTATTAGACTATAAATTTAGATCAAAAACTTGAGATGGGATTCAACATCTAGGTCGTTTAACAAGACAACCAAAAGAGAAATTTTGAAAAAATTGCTGAACAACCAAATAAATTGCCATGTAAACAAAATAAAAGGAAAGAAGATATAAAACAAGTTAAATAAATAATTAAATTTCTGGAGACTACTCATTCTCAAGATTATGAGCAAGAAGCTGATTTTAATCCTATTGAAGAGTTAATCAATCTCAATATTAATCTAACTACAAGATAGAAAACTATTTGTGATGGAAATAATTAAAGTAAACGGTACATGATATATAATAAAGTATGCCTATTGTAATAATGCATGTGAAATGCATGATTTAAATGATGATGCAACTAAGAAAGTAAAAGTTGAAGCATTTATATTTAATCGAAGAATGGATACTACGATTGTTTAAATTGGATTATTGTTAAATCCCAGTCGTCCCTTGGCCCTTGATCCCATGGTTAGCATGGGGATTCGTGGGAGGCTCACCTGTTAAATCCCAACCGTTCCTTACCTCTTGATTTAATGGTTAGCATGGGGATCTATGGGAGGCTCACCTGGATCATGCCGATCTCCTTCCATAATCGGGTGGCTAATTTAGGAAGGATTATATTAGAACAACCACGCATGATTATGTAATTATTTGTTTCTTTATTAATATATATTGTATAGATCTATAAATAAGAATAGTTTTGTGTAATAAAATTAAACTTTTTTACCTCTTTAATTCTCTGAATTTAACATGGTATTGGAGCCTAAAGATACATAGTCCACCGGCCTTCATTGCCAGAATTATGAGGGCTTTGCATTTTCTCCTCCATGTGTGCGGCTCTTCGGTTTCAAAAACAGAAAGTGTAGCCAAGAGCAGTGTCTCGTATGTGCCTACCTGGGGGCTAAACCAGTGAAGGAGAAGAACGGAGGAAGTAGAGCCGAGAGAGTGGTTCCTCTCGTGTGTGAATGAGACTGATCGAGCGGAGTAGAGGCCTTCTGTGTGCAATCTTGGGGTTGAACTGAGTACAGAAGAAGTTCGGGCAAAGGAGTCGAGCAAAGAATCTCTTCCTGCTTGTGCACTTCCAGAGGGGTTGAGCAAAGAGGGATTCATTCCTTCATTTTCCTTCTTCATGCTTGTGTATGGGAAGAATCCAGCTACCAAGCTGCTTGTGAGTGCATCTCGAGCGACCAAGAGGGGACGGGAACTCCCAGTTTGCGCTTATCTGAGCTGCATGATTGAGTGCGATTCCCGTGGCTGGAGAGGTGTGCCCGAGCATATGGGGGTTTTTTCTCTCGTGTCTGGGATGGAAGTAGGGCGGCTAGAAGCGCAATCGAACACTGTCTCATATATGAGCCGAACCAAGCTGACCTAGGAGCTGTTGCATCCTTCCTATGTGTATTTAAAGGGGACAAAAGCTTCTTCCTCCTCCTGCTACTATTGCTGTTGGAGTAAGATTCAAGGCCTACAAAACTAAAAGGAAAGTGGGCTGTTGTCTTTCCTCTCCTCCTACAGTTAAGAGAGATCTGAGTGTTTCTTCTTCATTCCTCTACCATTGTCTCCGACGAAGCTCGTGACAAACGAAGACAACTTCCAAAACACTTGAACAATAAGCTCAAGTGTCTCATACACTTTCTTTGTTGTACCACCACAACCGACCTTCCCTTTAAAAACAAGAGAGAGAGAGAGAGAGAGAGAAAATGAGATGGAGACGGGGCAGAAATCGAGCATCTAAATTTCCTCTCCAATGGCATCATTTGGAAGCGAGGTAGGCCGCTATCAGAGAAGATACAATCAGGGGAGATCGTGGAAAACACTACTCTTATTTCTACCTTTAGCTCCGTCAAGCTCTTGCCAAGTTTTTAAGTGATGCAGGTTGAGGAAAAGGCATTAATTTTATATATTGGCTTGCCTGCTTGGTATATACTACATTCCATTGAGGCCCAAGTTGAGAGCTTGCCGGAGGAAGGGGAATTCTAACCATCGGCTTTATTGCCATTTCCGGTATCTTGAGGGCTACTGTTCAACTCAGCCTTCATTGCCGCGCTGCACCTTGCAGACTTGATTGAGATAGCCTTCATCGCTATCTTTTGTCGTAATAATGTTTGTAGCTAATTCCTCCCAAAGCTTGGACCCAATGAAAGACCCTATGGTGAACCAAGGGACTTGATAACTCTACCTCTCTGTTACTAATTATCAAGCTGGGAATGACAGATCTATATTTCCTAGCTTGAGGGGGAGTTAAATCCCAGCCGTCCCTTAGCCCTTGATCCCAAGCCAGCACGGGGATCCGTGGGAGGCTCACCTATTAAATCCTAGTCATTCCTTACCTCTTGATCTTATGACCAGCATGGGGGTTCTTGGGAAGCTCAACTGGATCACACCGATCTCCTTCCATATTCAAGTGGCTTATTTATGGAGGATTATATTATGGCAAGTATGCATGATTCTATAATTATTTGTTTCTTTATTAAGATATCTTGTATAGATCTATAAATAGGAATAGTTTTGTTTGTGTAATAAAATTAAGCTTTTTCCTCTCCAATTCTTTGAATTTAAGAATTATGAATATGGATACTTGCTTTGAATGACACTAAATATTTGACAAATTTTTAGTAAGATTTGTTAAGTTAAAATTAGACGGGGAAGATGAAATGCAATGGAAAATAAAGAGAGGTTTATTACATAACATACATCTATTTTGATTGAAATGATAGAATTGCTTAAAGAAAATATCTCCCTTTATTGTAATATCATGATTGAATTTAACATATTAAAATAAGGAACAAAGGCTTCTGTTAAATATATGAAAATTTTGATGAATTAATAATGTGTTTTGAAATCATGGAAGATCTCAAAATAATATTTTCTAGATTTAGACTTGGATTAAGGTATAAAATTAAAAGAGAAATGAGACCTTATCATATTTCATGGTTTGAATATATTTTCCAACTTTTATTAGATATTTAAATATTAAAACTTTCTAATAGCGAGAGAATTATTACATATACTAAAACTATGTAACATAATCAAAATAATCAAATTCAACATATTATACATGATGTGATACTACCAGGAGTTAGCGAGAAATTAATAAGAGCAATTGTTAAAAGCTTTTTAATATAAAATTATCGTTCACATCAAAGAAAGATTCTAGGAATTCATAGTTTTCAACTTGTTTTGGCAAAGAAATACACATTAGATTAACCAAGACAATTTGATCTAGCTCCAAAGGCAAGAGTAACTTTTATGAGCGCATAACCAAATTCATAATTTAATAATGAGAGGTTCACCTTGAAGTCCTTATCACTCATTTACTCGTGGGGTTAGCGGAAGAAGATGCTCCACATTAGAGATGAAATCACCACTAGGAAGGAGCCTAAGAACTTCGTTGATGGAAAGGTAGCCGATAATGGATGGAGTGTTGGGCGTCCCACAATTGTCCACGATTTGATTGTGAGGTGTTCCTCTATCGATGGTGCCAACGTGAAGATGATGCGATCAATGTAGCCTTCCACGGTGTCGTCGACATCCAAATTTAAATCAAAGAACATGGAATGAAGGATGTCCATCCTTCCTTGATTATCATATACGAACCCCGTGATCAACGTCGGGATCGGCCATGCACTAGGGGATTGTTGGAAGAGAGGTGCTCGACTTCTTTCCTTGCAAGAGAGCACATGAGATGTGGGGGAATTCCACGAAAGTGGACTAACAAGGGGAGGGGCCGGCGGCTTGGGTTGGGTGGATTGAAAGGGGCGGCTAGGGTTAGGGAAAATTAGGTTATTAAATCCTCTTTGAAATTAATTACCAACGAAGGTAATCACATTAAGAGAATTAAATGAGGGTGGAGGGAAGTATTAGAGTTCAAAATTTGGGGCATAAGAGGGGGCCGGCGGTATGGATGAGGGTGGGGAAATTAGGAGGGGAATTAATGCTTCCTAATTCCTTGGTTCACTTTAGGAAAAAAGGATAAATAATTCAAATCTTATTTAATATTAAATTAGACTCAAATTGAAAACTTTCATAATTTGAAAATGTTAATTTAGGAAAGTATTTGAAATTCATATTGGATTAAAATCTCTCTCGAAATAAGTGGGCTAATTAAGGCAATTGTTAATGATGATTAAAATCATTATCAAGAGGGCTAGGGTGAGGTGGCTGACGGTGGAGCAATGGGATGGGGGGAAAGTGGCGGCTTGAAAGTTGATCAATTGGTGGGGAGGGGCCGGCGGGATAGAGGGTGAGTGTGGGTGGCCACGGGTGGTGGATGGGGTGGAGTTGGCCGGCGGTGTGGGAGGAAAAAAAAAGTGAGGGGTTTGGCCGGTTGAGAAGGGGAAGGGTGAAGACGAACTGCGAGTCCCAGAATCCACTGGTGGTTGACGGGTGTTGCAAGGCCCTCTCCTAGGGTCTCTCTTCTGAAGAACTCACAAAGAGATCAAGTAAGAAAATCTGAAATTTCATTCATAATCATTCATCATTCTTTTACAATAGAAGAGGCCACAATATATAGACCTAGAAAATAAAATAACAATGACTCAAATGCCCCTTGGGCTACAAATCAAGCAAACTCGGTACAATCATAAATAGCAAATAAATAAACTACAATAAAAAAATGCATAAAAAATAAAGGCTGTGAATCATTGCCATCGATCTACGATTCCTACGCTGATAGACTCGCGATAATGTCTGTCGATGTCCTCATCAATACCCTTTTCCCTAGTGCCTCTTTGATGCATAAATGCGGGGACTTGGAATAGTTTTACTTAATATAGATTAAGTTTATTTTAATTTTGCATTAGTTTTTTTAATCAAAATTTTCGCAATGCTATATAAAAATATGATTTGGATTTGGGTTGGAGACTTCTTTTAGTTGCACATTTCTATAATTAACTATATCTCACCCACGAGAGAGCACTATCGATTAAGGAGGTTGTTTTGGCTCAATTTTAGGATTATATTTGTATTTAAGAATAAATTTAAATAATTGGAGTGTTCGATATTTAATCCCGATAGCATAATGATACGTTGGTATCAAAAATAGCCAAACAACCAAGAGAATTTTAGCCAACACGTAGATTTTTATTGATAAGAAATGAAATACGAACGAGCAATATACAATGGTCATCTTTCGAGAGGTGGACATTCTCTCCCAAATTCTAGACGCAACTAGAATCCCTCACAAAAACAGTAGACAACACACTAACAAAACTCATCAATAGCATGATCTAAATCCTAGACAACTCCCTCTTAAGTAGCCCTAGCCACCATAACACAAATAAAATCTTCCTAAACAATTAAATATTATTCAGAAAACCTTTTTAATCAATTAAATATTTCCTAAATAGTATAAACATAATTTAGAAAAACTTCATAAACAAATAAACATGATTTAGGAAACATTCCTAAACAATTACATAAACGGGAAACCTTCTTAAACAACTAAATACTTCCTTAATAGTATAAACATGATTTAGGAAAACTTTCTAAATAATTAAACATGATTTAAGAAATCTTCCTAAATAATATAAACATAATTAGGAAACCTTCCTAAACTGATGTGAAATAATCCATGCGAAAATGACTTGCTTAAGGAAGTTTGCACTTGTAAATTTTAGAGAGCAATATTAAGCAAAATCCTCTATTGATGTAAACGATAAGATAACATTAAGGTGATAAAATAGCTTTGGTTTAAACACATGCGAGAGGTTGAGATCATTAAATAGTCAACTAAATCTTACTTTGCATACATGAGTGGTTTCAACGAGAAATTCCAATGTTAACAATAAGATTAGTTCTATGAAAGATCCCTCACACAACTCTTCCAATTACTAGCTTTTAGCGGAGAAGTATTAACATTATCTTCGTGAATATTATAAAAACCACAATCAAGAAGTAAGCTAAGAAGACATGAGAATTGGAGGGAGAGTTTACCCAAAGAAAGAAGTTATCCAAGGGAACGACAAATACGGCGCTCCGACGTAGTCGCTTATGCGTTTGAGGAAGAGTGGACAGCAACTTTAGGTTATGGAGCCTTCAAGATGGCGATGGGGAACATTTTGGACAGCAAGACAGCCATAGGAGGTCACCCAAAATGACTGGACAGCGGCTAGGGACGCCGAGACAGCAGCAATGAGGGTCGGGACAGCAATTCAGCACTTGAAATACTTCTGGACAGCAGCCCAAACAGCTTCTGAAAATCTGGGTAGCAGGTTTCAGGTGCTGGAAACTCCAAACAACAACCAAGGAAGTAGTCGGACAGCAATATAAAGTGAGTTCCAGGGCTGGACAGCAAGTGTTGGAAGTATATAGAGATCTGCTGGGCAGCAGTTTAACGGAAACCTGGGAAAGTTGGGCCGCTCTTAGGCACTTTAGATGCCGTTGGACAATCATAAACAGCTCTCTGGGATCACCGTTGCAGCAAGTCACTCTGTTGGAATCACGGGAGCAAAAGAGAGCAATTTTCCAAATTGAAAATGCTTGATTTGGAAATAAATTAAAGCAGGTTACGGGATAGGGAGCTAACTGAGGAGAGAGGGAATCCGTTTCAGTTTTTCAGATTTTTTTGAAATCTGAAATTGACTGCAATTAACTATGTAGAGGAGGCATTAAAGAGTATTTAAGTGTGTGAGGTGCACTAGAGAGAGAAGCAATGAGGGTGAGGTGGCCGGCATGTGGAGAGGGGAAGCTTGAGATTTAAGTAGGTGGGACCACTAGTAAACTCACAAATCCTGATTTTTATTCAGATTTAATTGCCCTCAGTAACTCCCTAATTTGAATTAAAATTAGGAGGGAATTTGGATTTCAAAAGATTGTAACTCCCCTTGATTAATTCCCTAATTTAATTTGACTTAATTAGGCAAGTCATTAATGAGGGAAATTCAAAATTGGAGGAGGGGGAGAGGGGCCGGCGGTAGGGACTCATGGGTGGTCGGTGGCAAGGGATCTTGCAAGAGGCCGGCGGGCTGCAGGGTGGAGGGTTGGCCGGCGGGAGGAGCTTTGCAGGCCGGCGGGTTGAGCCTTGCAAGCCGGCGACCGGGATGGCTCCAAGGGGATCGGCGGCAACAAGAGGAGGGAAGGGAAGAGCTAAAATCTGAGAATTTTCATTGATGTGATTCCACTTACCTCTTTATCTTCGAAGATCGGATCTCAACACAATAAAATTGGACGAAATCTAGAACTCACAAAGAGATCTAGTTTCTCCTTTGAACTCACTAAGAGATCTAGGAGAAGTGCACTCACAAAGAGAACAAGGAGTAAATTTCTTCATTCATCAAAACTAACTATTACATAAGAAAAGGACCATATATAGGCCTCCAAATGACAAAGAAAATAAAAGACTAAAATGCCCCTTGGGCTACAATAGCGACTAACTTCCTATAAGGGCAAAAAAGGAAAAACATAAAAATCAAATAAACTACTACATAAAATGGCAAAAAAAATACAGCTCATGATCGTGGCCGTCGATCTTCGATGTCCTCATCATAAACACTTCCCCTTTAATTAGGAACTTTCATAAACAACACCCATTGATTTGGAACCTTCTAAATATCTTCCCCTATGCCCCACAAGGTGGGCCCCCCTGATGTATCACATAGTTTTCGTTATTCTATGTATATTTGTTTACCAAATTTGTTAATATTATAGGGCCCTAAACCATAAGTTTGTAACATCATGGAGATTGATTAAAAACCATGGTTTGTCACCTCTCGGATATCCCAAGCAAACTGAGATGGAATTGTGATTGTGTCAAACACATTCTTTCAAATTTGGCATCAACTTATTTGTTGGTAGTGGCCTAGCCATACTGATTCTCACTAAATAGTTTTGGTACATAGAATATGGATGTTGTGGTTCATAGGCATAGGACAAGACCTATAATGGCTCATGGTTATGACATAGCCATGGGTCCATGGGATTTAATTATTCATAGTTTTTTAGCTTTACGTGAAGAAGCGTGTCTATATGATACATGTTGGATCTTTTTGATTTTATGGTTTTAGTTGGTGGATTGGAGAGCTCGTTAGCATGCGAGTTGGATCTAGCTTAGGATAGGCTGGAGGCTTACGTTGAATGGAAGACCTAAGATTTGATTTAATGGTTTTGTTGGTTTTATAAAAAGTTTATTAAACTAGATGTGGATTACTATCTGTTGGAAAGGCCATAAGTGGGACCAACAACCTCGAGGATAGGGAAAGCTCATTAATGAGTTTTAAGGCATTGTCCTACATGTAAGGTGGCCCAATTGGTTTAGTTTGATGGGCTTATTAGATTTTTTGTTCACTCGTTAATTGGTGGAAGGCCCATAGAGATAACTTTTTGATTTATTATTTGGACTTTAGCAGGAATATTTAGACTTACTATTCTATTTGTTAGAGAGGCTAAATAAGCTATGACTTATAATTATATGTTCGAAGGGAGCCCAATATCAATCCTGCTATTATGAATTTAGAATGACTTTTAAGGATGTGTTTTTTAATCTTCTGCTTTGGACGAGATGATCCAACTAGTGGCAATTCTCGAGGACCCTTACGGCTCTTACTTCAACTTGGAACCAACTGTGTACTTGGCTTATCTACCTGATTCATCGTATGCATTTGAATAGAAATAAAGGGGTGTTAATATGCTTTGCACATATTGATACATTTGACATAGATATTGATATGTTAACACGACTGAAAGTTATCATGTGATATTTACAAACATTTGGATACGTGTTGGCACACTTTTCAAAATAACTTAAAATATTTAAAAAATTTGTATATTTTATGAAATGCTAGTCTTGCTACTATGCCAATTAGGGGTGTTAATTCAGGTCAACGGGTCGGGTTCGAGTCGAACCCGAAATTTCGATCCGAAATTGACCTGATGCTATTTGACATGACTCGAACTCGACCCGTTTTTGCAAACGGGTCAGAAAATGCAACCCGGACCCGTCGGGTTGCCGGGTTGACATGACCCGACATGAAAATGGGTTGCGGAGGTAGGTGCATGGGGACTGCGGCCTAATGCCGCATGGACATCCGCGTGGATTTCACGCCGCGTGTGGGGACTGCGGAGGTGCACGTGGCCGTATGGCCCGTAAGGACTGGCAGACTGCGGAAGTGGGCGCCTGGGGAGTGGGGACTGTTGAGGCACGCCGCATGGCCCGTGGGGACTGGCGGGCTGCGGTGGTGGGCACGTGGGGAGTTGGGTTTGTTGGGAGTCCGAAGGTGGGCTCGTGGCAACTGCCGGACTGCAGCGCTGAACTGTAAGCAAGCTAGGGCGGAAGCGAGAAGCAGGCTAGGGCGGATAGGCTGGGCTAATGGACTCGGACCCGGGTCAACTTCGGGTTGATTTCGGGTTTCCGGGTCAACCCGAACCCGACCCCTTTTTTTTCAAATGGGTCAAATATCCGAACCCAAAACCGACCCGTTTGCTAACCGGGTCGACCCAAACCCAGATTTTTCCGGGTCGGGCCATGGTCGGGTTTCATGTCGTGTCAAAAATTGACACCCCTAATGCCAATGGTTCTTGCATGTGGCAAGATTGTATTGTCTTTTGTTTATTCCTAGAGTTGTGGTTGCATGTTGCTCTTGTGGCAGGGTCTCTTCCCATGGCCACGACTGAAACTACTTATGGCTTCGTTGTTTATGTTGTCTCCATTTCATGATTATGGCTACATGAATAATTGGATTTGACTATTAAATTTAACCACTGAGAAGCAAAAGATTCAGGAGTTTTGTCCTTATTAATATTAACTGTGATTTAATAAGATTTTTTATTCCAATTCTCAACAATCCGTGTGGAAGTTGGATATATTATTTATTCGAGCACAACACAAGTACAAACTAATTCTATAAGAAATTATCTTCTTATACTGACATGTTTTTTTTACTTTGATGAATTATTCTCTTAAAGAATTTCTTTTTTCTTCTAATTATCTTGTTGTTGGAGATGATATTGCTCAAATATGATACAACTGAAATTTTATAATTGCCGTGAAAATTTTAATTGCTCAAAGATTTTGTAGTTTGACTTTCTTATCTGTTTATTTGGATTTATTTGATGCACAAACTTTGTAATAAATAAATCCATTTGCATGCTCATGGGACTTCCATCTCTTTGCTAAGAAAGAGAGCGCTTTATTCATAAGTACAATAAACCGCAAATTACTACAAAAGAGATCAAGCACCACAAATAGAGAACATAAAAACTTCTTGGTTTAGTTTGAGTAGGCTGATATCCGCAGCTGTATAACGATCAAATAATCCATAAAATTTTGGAATAGATACATGAAGGATTAAAATTCATATAAAGTTGGAGATATGAACAAAACATACCACTTAATTTGCCTAAGAGAGAGATGACAATCATTTGTTGCGAATAGGAGGGCTAGACAAAGGAGATGCTTTTATTCCTCCAATCACTCTCTTCACCTCTCAATTGCAGAAGTTCAAATAAGAACAATTTTTTTTGTTATGACCAGGGGCTTCTTCCCTTGCTATAATTGAAGATAGCAACAATTCTTTCCTGGTAAAACCTAATAAACCCCCTTACTAGCACCCCAAAAAACTTATTATCCTTTTTTAGATTTTAGCTCTCTCCCCTCTCTTTCTTTCTCTCCTCTTTTTGTTGCTTTTTTGGGAGGAATGCTTTTAAACATTTGTTTCTTTTCCTTTTTATAGTTATCATATGAGGTGGTAGGAGAGAAGAAATATGTATAAATGGAACTTGAGTTAGGTGGCCAAAATCTTGAAAAATCAAGCGTGAGTTGAGTTATATATCCATCAATCATCATCTTGGAAAATCAAGCATAAATTGAGTTATGTAGATGCCATCTTTGAAAATCAAATGTGAGTGAAGTTAAACTTTATAGCTTTCAATCTTGAAATATTAAGATTAAATCTTATCCATAATAGTTACAACAACAACAACAACAAAAACATCAAGCCTTTGTCCCACTATGTTGGGTCGGCTACATGAATCCTTTTTTGTCATTGTGTCCGATTAAAAGTCAAATTCTCATTTAAATCTAATAAAGAAAGATCATTTCTAATATTTTCTAACCAAGTCTTTTTAGGTCTACCTCTACCTTTCTTAACCAAAGTAAAATCTAATACCTCAACTTTCCTAACCGGGTCATGGGAAGGCCTCGGTTTAATGTGACCAAATCATCTAAGGCGACTCTCTCTAATCTTATCCATAATAGTTAACGAAATTAAATTTCACACTCAATACTCTTTCATCTTGACTTTCTCAAGGCGCAAATTAATTTCAAAGGCATTCAAGCAGGAAAAGAATAAATCAATGCATTGGAGATTATCATCAAAGGCTCATCATCATATTTTTGGTTTTGGATTCTAAATTTCATAGTTTTCTAGTTTACACATAAAGAAAATGAATTTATATATGAGAAAAGCATCAAAATAGTTCATAAACTCTTTATGAAGGACCAAAATGGTCCCTAACTATATTAAAATACATTTTGGTTCCTCAAGTCTTTAAAAAAATAATCAAAATAGTCTCATGATAGGACTATTTTGCTTCCTCTTTAGAGAGTTGAGGGATCAAAATGATCCTTTAATATAATTGAGGACTATTTTTGTTTTTCATAAAAAGTCAAGGGTGTTATGCTCTAGATCGGTTTGGCCTAGGAGTTTAAAATAGTCGAAGCCTCAACCATCCGGTCCATCTTGCACACGATAAAGCGTGTTGAACTAGTTGCCGATCAACCTTCCGCACAAGAACTCGACCGATCGCCTTGCATGCGACATCTCTTTCTCCAATTGTGATAATCATGTGATTCCCCTGACTCCTCTCATGATTTTCCCTCTTTTGACTCTCCTCTCGCGATTTAAAGCTAGGATGCTAGGGCATCGCTTATTCTATTTATCTTGACTCTCTGTAGCCGCCAAAATACTTCCTTCTCGTCCCTCTTCGCTCTTTTCTCTTTAATCTCCTCTCCTTCTACAGTGAGTTTTCCCTCTCCTTCTATCTTTCTTATTCTTATATTTCTAATCACTTAAGAGTTCTTTTAATTCTATTGTGAGGCTAATTCAAATATTCATTTCATTAATAGAGATTCAATAATAACACGTTTAAACAATATGACTACATCAAACAACATAAGTTTGAAAGAAACAACGAACATGAATTAAACCACCCAATCATAAAAGTCAAAATGCATAATAAATTGCTACAAAATATAGATTACCAAATACAATCTACTATAGATAAATCTGCTCCTAAGATGACATTCCACTTAGCACTGCGATAGGACCTGCTATGAAAAAAAAAACGAGTTTGATAAATCAAATCCAACAAGAAACTCCTATTTATCAAAGAATAATCAGTAAAAGAATGAGGCAAGCAATATGAACAACTAAAACGTGAGATTAGTAACCTATAGTCATTATATATCAAAATTGCAATAACATATGTCATGTCTTCTACGACAGATTCTAGTATGCTAGTGTAACAAATGCATATATCAATCTGCTATAAAAATAATATAATTTTAATGCTTCAAGTTGGATATCACCATACTCCCAAATGACTTATCAGTCATTTATGCTTTTTAGCTCATATATATAGTTGTTCTGTCAAGTACCCATCAATGAGTAGATAAATACTACTAACCCAAGAAAATCTAATGATTTTCTATAGATTTATCATTATGTGGGTTCGTCGACCCGACTAGCCAATATCTAGTAGGGTTCTACCGACTTACATACCATTGCACACATGTTTATAATTTTCAAGTTTTCATGCATGATTTTCAACAGATGTTATATTTTCAATATGTGAATTTTCATATCATAATATAACATAATTTATAATTATGTTATTTATTGCATTCAATGAGCATTACATAATTTAATTTACCGGAGGTTGTGCAATAATACATTAAAAATGACCTATCCATCAAATTTGCTATTTATTATGAGCATATGCATAAAATAGAAAAAATTTAAATAACATGACTGTCGGTCTAATAAATTATTGAAAACCTATTACATATAGCTATGATTTATGCTAATAATAAGGAAGGGTATGTTTATACCAAAATACATAACAATTACTTACCTTTAGGCGAGCGACAAGGAACTCCAGGCCTATTAGATATTCAACAAAAAAAGCTTTGAGGGCAACAACTTGAAGGTCCTAAAAGAAGTGAAGCCAAAAATAATATTAAGCACAAAATTCGAATCATAATGATGAATATCCTAATCAATCATAGTCACACTATAAACATCAAATAAATTATCAATTGATGTGGTTTAACCTACGACCTAACAAGCAACTTATGGAGACAAAAATTAAAGGTATCCCACAAACAACCTTAGATTAATAAATATATGAAAGATACAAAATAAGATAGTTTGATCAAACATCAAACTCAAATGAGACCTCCCAAAGTAACTTAAAACTCATCCTACGAAAAATTTAAGGTTATATAAAACTTAATACAAATGAAATTTGGCCTCATAATAGAATTGAAAAAACTCTTTAAGTTGGTGATTAGAAATATAAAAAGAAGAAAGAGAGAAGGAGAGGGAAAAACACACTGTAGAAGGAGAGAGTTTGAGAGACATTCGCTGATAGCCACTGTTATGAGAAAGGAGCGAAGTTGAGAAAGGAGCGAAGAGTGAGGAGAAGGAAGAATGTTGACGGCTTTAGTGAGGCAAGGGAACGAGAATAAGTGATGGCCTAGCCTCCCTTTAGCTTTAAATGTCGAGAGGAGAATCAAGAGCGGGAAATCACGAGGGGAGGCGGGAGAATCATGTGATTATCACGATTTGTTGCGTGTGAAGGCACTCGATCGAGCTTTCATGCGAAAGGCCGATCGGCTTGGCTGGTTTGACATGGTTCGTTGTGCGTAATATGTGGTGGATGGTTGAGGCTTCCGTTGCTTTAAACTCGTGGGCCAAATAAGTCCAGGTTACAACAAAGAGATCATTTTGATCATATTCTCATTTATATATATTTAGTGGTCTTTGATATAGGAATCCTAATTCTTTCATGTGCTCAACATGCATTACCTCATTCTAATTGTATTTGGCAATTAACAATCCATCCCGCATCACAAACTCATTTTGTTTTAATATATACCTTACAAATACCCGTATCAATCAGTCTCCGTTCTAAGGTAGACTGACTTTGCTTTGATTTAAAGTTGGAAAGTGCTTTAACTCGCATGAAAAACTGAATCCTTGCATGCATGAATCAATTTCTTCTAAGATTGAAAAACTTTTGCCATGTATTTTCATTCTGCAGGAGTGTTGATAATATTGATAAAACCATGGAACATGTCAATGAGCAGTCAGAGAATATGAAGCAGATACAAGAGTCTCTCGCAGCTTCTGTGGGTGTTGCAGCTGACTTCGATGAGGTTCATTTCATTGCAATTCTTATTCTATCTTCTTCCTATATTGTTTCATTTGTACATAAATATTTCTTCTTTGTACTTAAAATCAAGCTTTTTGACTGCTGAAGTTATTTCTACAGGATGAGTTAGAAGCTGAGTTGGAGGAACTTGAAGGAGAAGAGCTGGAAGAAAAACTCTTGCAGCCACCGTCCGCGATTCCCGCAGTTCAGATGCCTGTTTCTCAGCATCCACAGAGCGCAAATGGGCGACATACTAGCGATGTAGATGAGCTTGCTGCTCTTCAAGCAGAACTGGCACTGTAGCTCTCTGACTTTTCAGTACTTGGTCCTTGTTTATGTATATATGATGCACGTAGCTATGCCATATATCTACTATTAAAGAAAGCTTTTAACATGGTGTAATTATGTAATAGTTCTCACTAATTTTTACTGATCTTTTTAGTTATTTTTATAACATGCAGTTTAATATTAGATAATGAATTACATGAACAAGAAAATGAAATCTCGCTTTTAGGGTAATTTAGATTTATCATATTAGATATAGTTCATCTTGGTCTGCTGGCTGGAAGTTTTGATAGTTTTGGTTATCAATCAAGAGGTCCCGTGAAGCTTGTGTATATGATCTGTTGGTTGGAAATTTTGGTTTTGGATCGACTCAATAAATGGCTTGTGAGTTGAGCTTGATGAGCTAACAAGACAAATTTGAGTTCATCATAATTGACTCATTAGCTCGTGAGCTGACTCATTTTAAAAAAAATTAATACAAAGTAGACTTAAAATGTATTATGCTTTGAGATTTTATGTACAATGTTGTCGTAAAAATTTGAAAATTCTATCTTATCTTTTTTGTATTAAGTGATTTTATTATTATTTTTCTTACAAATTTTTAGTTTTATTATTAGTTTATTATAATAATTATTATTTAAATCATAAATATAAATGAGTGAACTCGTGAGTTGATTTGAACTTGATTAATCAATCAACTAGTTGGGAGTTTTAGCTATCAATTAAAATGTTTTAAATTTCAAGTTGGTAGTATGCTTTTAATTGGCTTAAAAGTAAAAAAACATTGTTACTCTGCAAAAGATGAATGTTAATTAATAATTTAATGAACATTATTGGAGCAAATTAAATCATGATAGGGAATAAAGATAAAATGTTTTATCACAATGAATTTTAATAATATCCTTACTAATAATTATGATTTTCTTAATTAGTATATTCAATCTAATTTTAATGCAAATGATATCAATATATTTATTTGGATCTCATATAATTATATCATAAGAAACAATTTTCAGAATTTAACAGTTTTTATGGGCTATTTGGCTACAAATAAGATAGTGTAAATCTTGTAAATTCATAGTTAGTAAAATTTGAAAGGATTAATTACTAAAAAATATTTGGCTTGATAATGGTTAAAGTTTGATATGAGATACGGATAAATCATTAAATATATTTGATACGCCATGTAAAAATTATCTTGATCGGACGCGAATCTCGAGAGAAAAAGCTAGTTGGAAACTTTAAAATTTAATTTCGGGAGCATCCGAACTCCGATTTCAGCAAGCTTATAGTCGAACTGAGCGTCTCGGAAATACGAACTCAACGACACCAAGATCAACCCAAATTAAATATATTAAATCCATTAAAAATTATCATCTAAAACATGTATTTCCTAAAAGCTCATTTAGTTATTATGAATATAAATATAAATATTGATACATCCTCAATAAATTATCTTCATCCATATGTGTCACTAGATTTTAATCATACGATTGGCATTTATAATATGTTCGCACTCAAGGACGAGTCAGTCCGCTGTAATCTATTCGAATTTTAATTGAATCGTTTTCAACAGGGTCAGACTCCGTGATTTTTTTTTTCAGGATTTTCCACATAAAAAATATTGTGTTCTCTGTGTGTGAGCTGAGTATCCGTACAACACTAAGATGAATGATTATAACTCTATCGCCACGTATATTTTAGCCCTCAACAAATATATATAATATTAATTTTATTTTTTATCTATTTTGATTGTGACATTTTAAAGTAATTTTAAATAGATTTTATTTATAATATTTTTTTATATCAATTTTAAAATCTGAATATTATGTGCATAAATATAAATAAATGAAGTATTATATAGGTAACTATATAAAATTTTAAGGTCTTTACGTAAATCCTCATAAAATCAATCAGAAAAAATAGATTTCCTATTTTCATCAAATTTTTGATTAAAATAAAATTTAAAATTATTTTAAAATGAATATAATATAAATAATTTATTTATTGTATTTCTTTAAAAAATGGAAAATTTTTAAATCCATTTTATCATACAAATATTATCCGAAAAAATCACGAGTTACGGAATAAATGCTTACGGCCACGGAAAAGTCATTCCAACCTCAACTAGCCGCCGACCGTGAGCACCAAGAAAATTCACCAGATGGACGGCCCAGATTCCCCTAAACGCAGGCTCGTAAACATACAAACGGGGCCCAGATTACCGTGGCTTCATCCAACGCTTTTCGTCGCCGCTTGAGATGTCTAAAGATTGTCCATGGCGGGAGATGAATTTCCTCCTCATCGAGTCCTAGAGACCAGAAACCCTAGATCCGAGTGCTTCACGATTTTCTCTGCTTATGGCGTCCGACAAGGACGACAGAGGCGGATGCCGCTACGATCTGGAGAAGCTCGCGAACTCCCGCTACGCGGCGGCAATGCTTCTTGGCGGGTTTGTGCTCAGCGCTTCTGTGATGGCTCTGCACCTGGGCTATGGTCCGCCGCTTCAGCCGCTGTTTAGTGGGTTTAGGTTGCCGGGTAGGAGGAGAAAGAGGCCAATACGGGTTTATATGGATGGGTGCTTCGACATGATGCACTACGGCCACTGCAACGCCCTCCGGCAGGCGCGGGCGCTCGGAGACGAGCTCGTCGTTGGTGTGGTCAGTGATGAGGAGATCACGGAGAACAAGGGCCCGCCTGTTACGCCAATCAAAGAAAGGTTTGTGCTCTGGATTTCATCGCCAGTCTTGATTGTTTTTGAGGGACATGAATTATGCGATGAATGGCCTATCCCTTATTTGATGCATTATTCACCGCCAAGTGTAGCCAGAGTTGGTCACTTGATCAGATTGTCTTTATTTATTTATTTAAGTTTCCCTTCGCAATATCTAAGATGTAATTGTTCATTTCTGCTTTTTTCTATATTTTTTTACTGTCCAAATTTCTGATTAAGCTTACTCTTTTCATTGTGAATTTTTTCTAGTTGGAGAAATCCGTTATCCTCGTTCCTGTTACTATGTTGTTAGGGTGTTTTGTCTTCTGTTTCCAAATTAGACGTGTTCTTTTGTCTGAAGCGTATGCACTTTTCCCGTTATCCCGCTTTTTTTTAATAGAAGATTTAGGCCCTCCACCTCTTTCCATATTCCTTTTATTGATATTTGATGGCTTAATATTTCTATATTTTGATATGTGATGAACTTCAACATTCAATATGCTACGCAGCGTGTATATATTAATTTGCAAGTTATTTGCTTCATTGTTTACTCTTCATTTTATCTTAATTGTTTGCCCTTCAAAAGATTCTGAAAGAAATAAAAAATATTTCTTCATGCACATTGAGTTATTTCTGATGCGTGCAACTCCATGTGGTAGGTTGATCATGGTTGGTGCAATAAAATGGGTTGATGAGGTCATCCCAGATGCTCCTTATGCCATCAACGAGGAATTCATGTACAAGCTTTTCAATGAGTATAATATAGATTATATTATTCATGGGGATGACCCTTGCTTGCTGCCAGATGGCACTGATGCATATGCACTAGCCAAGAAAGCTGGCCGCTATAAGCAGATCAAGAGAACTGAAGGAGTGTCAAGCACCGACATTGTTGGTAATTTTATACAAATATGTAAAAATGTTGTATTAGAATTTCCAATTTTACTTGTTTTTTCTGTGAGGTTCTTTACATCAATTATCATGCATGATATCACTTCTTAAGGTTAATTTGGACTTTGGTATTAGGAAACAAGATAAATTTTACTTGCGGCATATTATGTCTCTAAATGAGGTGGGCATAAAGCATAGTTTAATTTGATTTCAAGTTGGCCATGCTTGGAAATCAAAGATCCGATTATCAAAAGTGGGAATTGAAATTACATTGAGAAAAAAAAAAAGAAGCCATAGATAATTGAATGCTTCAGTTCGATTTATGTTCATATTTGGCTTGATATTGGTTTGTTTTTGGGAATGGATTGAATCTGACAAGTTTTTATTTTTATCTACACTCCATGCTCTTGCCTTTGGAAACCTCCAGAATTCACAGCTGCATTGATTGCGCCTTGACTACATCTTTTCCAACACTCCCAACTCCCTAGCCGTGAGCTACAAGTCTCTCTTGGAGGCTGTGCCTGTCTTACTTCCATGGCAGCTGTCAGATATCCAAGGTTGGCTGGTATTTTCCAGCCACTTGAAAAGTACTCCAAGAAGAAAAAATGGTAGATTAAATGTTCAAAAACAAGAAAACCGTAGTAATTGAAAAAGAAATAGAAAACATAAAACATAGTATGTTGAAATTGTTGGATTCGATCCATTCCCAAACCTTGTAGCTTAAATTTTCTGCAGTGCTTCCCTTTAGCCGCCCTCAAACCAAGTGGTTTTTGCTGTTTTTTCTTCTTTTTGCTTGTCCAACATCTTCCAAACGTAGCAGAAACCTGCAAGAAACAAACAAAGACAGCTAGAGTTCAAGAACCAAGCTTCCTTTGGATTACTTGCCACTGAATATGAGCTGTCAGCCTTTCCTTCCACTGGTGTTTCCTGTTTGCAGCAGGAAGGACTGAATTACTGCATTGCTACCTGGATTCCAGCTGCTGAAATCAATGGCTGCCTCCTAGAGCAGTTGTCGAAGAAGATCCATGAATTCTGGCGACTCCATTGCTTTATTTTTTTGCCCACCATATTCCCCAAATATGGGCTATCCACCCCAAAAGAGAGAATTCCTTCTATAGCTCAGGTTAGTCTGAAAGTAACTCACACCAAAGTGAGGTGAAGGGCATAAATAAGTTTGCTTCACCTCTTAACCTCTAGATCCATTTAATTACTAAACTACCTTATGAAGGTAGGAAAATAAAACTAGCCCAATAATAACTAATTGATTATGAAAAGAATCTCTAAAGACTAAACACAACAAATAACTATGTCAATATTGCAAAATTAGTTTGCAATTATAATTTATTTATTGCAATTAAAATGGAATTGCATCAAATTTAAACAAAATAAAAAAATGATATCAAGCCAATAACAAGATATTTAGAAAAAATGAGGTAAATAAAATGATTCACCAATAGAAATCTAGGTCTCCTTATTGAAATAAAAATAATAAAAAAGGAAGATAATAAAATAGAAAAGGTGGTATTTACTTCTCTTCATGAAACAACACACCTGTTTGGCGAGTCGATCAATAAAATGACATGAAATTGAATGGAGAGAAACACTTACACTTTCGACCAGTCCCATTAATTTCTTGTTCTCGTTTCATCATTCTCTCACACAATTTGACCTCTCCTCCGTGCCTCCTTCCACCCCAACTCCCAATTCTCATGTTGACCCGCTCACTCATATGAATAGAAGCTGCGACCCCCCTCTGCCTTTCTGATCCCACCGAACAAACACCCGCTCTCACGTGCGAACCCAAGCACGCTCTTACACGCAAACATCAACTCCACTCTTCCAATGCCGCAGTCCACGCCGACCCGCATGTACACATGCGACCATCCTCGCCCGATCCCGCCGAACTCCTGATCTGACTTGCCCAACATGCATGACTGCTCCGGTTCGACACCTTCTTCGTTCCTCCAACACCCAAGAAATCCTTATGTGTGTTTGACTTATCTACATGAACTGTCCATCTATTCTAGATTCGTGAGTACTCCGTCAATACATCTCACGATAGCAATCCAAACTGCTTGCTGTTGCATTATGTATGCATGACCATTTCTACCGACTGCAATTGAATTAAATAATAAAAATAAGATTGTTGTATAATTAAATAAACTTTTTATTTTGGCAACAAAGCAACAAACACTGCAGATTTTAAGACATGCGCCGTCGATCTTTGATCATGGTGTGATGATTTTTAATTCGAAGGCCCCACGCCGTCATATCTTTGATCCGAGCGGGTAGAAACCACGACAAGTGCCGTCTCGACCTCCCTTCGCGGGGAGGAGATGTCAGGAGGCCGCCAATTTTTTTTTGAAACTATCAGAGAGTAATTTGAGAATTATTCACTAAATTAATTTTAAATAATTTGTAATTAATTAATTAACGAATCAATTTAAACTCCTAAGGGAAGCCTAACACTAACTAGAACTCAAACTTAAACTAAAACTAAAACATCAAACTCTTAAACAAAACAAATTGAAACTCTCCAAACAAAGCAACAAAGCCTTCCAAACTCTCCAAAATCCCTGTGCAAGCTCTGCAAGCTCCTCTGCAAACTCCAATGGTAGTATGAACTCTTGCAAATAAATGAACAAAAATCAGCAATGTAAACAAAAATTGCAGTGCATGAAAAAGAACAACTACTGTAACAAAAGAAAACTATAATATTAAAAAGTTAAATACTGTAATTAGAAGTAGCGCTGAAACAAGAAAGAAACCTACTACAACAAAACACTAGTAAAAGGCTACTTCTAAGTGAAGCAGTAAAACTCACTTCTTAAACAAACCTACGAGCTATTCTAAGTGAAACAATAAGATTCACTTTTTAAACACTCAGACCTACTTCCAAGTGAAGCAGTAAGATCCACTTTTTAAACACTTTGGGTTACTTCTAAGTGAAGTAGTAAGATCCACTACCCAAACCCATGGGCAACTTCTAAATGAAGCCATAAACCCCATCTTAAACCAAACTTACAGGCAACTTCCAAGGGAAGCCGTAGGCTCTATTTTAAACAAAACCTACGGGCAACTTCTAAATGAAGCCGTAAGCCCCATCTTAAATCAAAACCTACGGGCAACTTCCAAGGGAAGCGGTAAGCCTCGTTTTAAATAAAACCTACGGGCAACTTCCAAGGAAAGCCGTAAGGCCTGTTTCAAATAAAACCAACATGCACCTTCTGAATGAAGTCGTAAGTCCTATCTTAAATCAAAACCTACGGGCAATTTCCAAGAGAAGCCGTAAGCTCCGAACTAAAATCAAACCTACGAACAACTTCCAAAGGAAGCCGTAAGCTCCGAACCAAACTCAAACCTACGGGCAACTCCTAAATGAAGCCGTAAGCTCTGACTTAAATCAAACTAACGGGCAACTTCTAAATGAAGCCGTAAGCCCACAATTAAATAAATTATTGGGTATTCTAACATATATAAACCTCAAACCACCATAAAATTAAAATTAACATCTAATCACTTTAGTTTACTTAAGATCCTTGAGAGGAGGCAACCCATGACTGCTAATCAGATTTTCTTGACACCACAATCAACGATTGATAGTGTTGGTAGATGAAACTTACGATATTCTCTGGACAATGAAACCTTGAGATCTTGATCAGGTCTACCTCCATCCCCCACAAATGAGATTAAAATATTTTTAAACTATTCATCTTTAATCGAGAGTACTCTCTTATGCAGTAAGAGAGGTAATTAATTATGAGGGCTTACGCTCATAAAAAGTAAGAATTAGATCTAACTAAACTCTGATCCAATTATTAGGGGAATCTGATTAATTATAATCTGCCTTAAGGAATTATTCTGTGCGGAGACCGGACGACAAACGCCGTATGGATTTGCTGCCCTTTTGTTGTGCTTTTGTAAATACTCAGTAAAAGGGCAGCTAATATGTAATTATGAATGCATGTTTGCTGCCCTTTCGCTGAGTATTTGCAAAGCGTAGCAAAAGGACAACTAAAGCGCAACAAATATCCTACTAACTGGGGGAAACTTTGCCCGAACAAATAACACATCCCTAATAACCTAGGCGGCTGGGCTACTTCTAAACGAAGTCGTAAGACCCGCTACACGGGCTACTTTCAATGAAAGCTGTAAGCCCCACCCAAATCCAAACATATGGGCTACTTCTAAACGAAGCTGTAGGACCCGTTATCTGGGCTACTTCTAAACGAAGTCGTATGACCCGCTACACAAGCTACTTTCAATGAAAGCCATAGGCTCCAACCCAAATCCAAACATGTGAAGCAACTATAGGGTGTCTTGTAAGTGTCATTTGTAAGAGTCGTTTGTAAGTGTCCAAGTTGTAATAGTTTTTATAATATTAAAATTGTGTTTTGTTTTGTTTAATTTGTCTAATTATTATAAGTTTTGTAAGTTTCTTTTATTCTTAGAAAGGTATTCTCTTTTGTGATAAAAAATTTGGGTCCCTCTCCCAAATTTTTGATTGCATCAACGGAGCTTAAGACTCAATCTAAATCTAAACTACGGGCAACTCCTAAGTGGAGCTGCAAGTCCCAATCCAAACCAAATAACCTACTTTTATCCATTATAGTTTATTCAAGATCTCTGAGAGGAGGCAACTTATGACTGCTAATCAGATTTTATGGACACTACAATCAACAGTTGGTAGTGTTGGTAGGCTGAAACCTACGGTATTCCCGGGATGACATAACCATAGGATCTTGATCGAGCCTAAATTTTTTCCCCACAACCAAAATTTAAAACAGTTGCACATCTAAACATTGATTCATCATGAACCTAGAGTTCTCTTCTACGCGCGTTGGGGGGGGGGTTATTAACTATAAGGGCTTGCGTTCATAGGAAGTGGAACTTCAAAATTAAATAAACCTTGATGCCGATCATTTGGGGAAATTTGGTTAATTTAAAATCCAATATACCTCGGGAAAAATAGGACCTTAGGCTTGAGAATGCAGGGTTTGTGTCAGCCATCTTTTCCTGAGCGAACAATGACTTATAAAATGATGTTCTCAAAGTTATTATTATTATTATGATAATTATTAGGCTAATGTTGAAATGTATAGGATTCCAAATCAAATGATTAAGTAATGGTTCATCTAAATCTGAAAAAGTTTCTTATGGGAGTCTTTAAGAAATAACTATGGTAGGATGAATGCTCATAATAGATGTTTCATGCATGTTAATTGATTACTCTAACGCCCAACGGCTAATATATTCAAATTGACTTTCCATTACTTATTTTACCCTGAGCTGCTTTATTGTGTGTATGGGCAATTCTTTGAGTAATGTTATTTACGTCACCAGGTCGTATGCTCCTTTGTGTGCGGGAGAGATCCAGTGGAGATCATCATGCACATTCTTCTTTACAAAGGCAATTTAGCCATGGGCACAACCCAAGATTTGATGATGGAAAACCTCCACATGGAGGAACTCGTGTATCTCATTTTTTACCAACCTCTCGGCGCATAGTACAATTCTCAAATGGGAAGGTAGTATGAATCCTGTAGTTACTGTTATCCGATTGAGTTTTCATTAATTCATGGAATTGAACAGGATGATTTTGGAATTAATTTCTCATAAAAAGATTCATCTATCTATGAGTTATTTGCTCGTATTTTAAAACTTTCGTGGCTATTCATAATGCAAAGGAGCAAGTGGCTTTAGGCAATTGTCATAGGTCAATCTTTTGAGAAGATCCATGTAATGTATGTGACATGTACTATAGATGAGGAGTAAGCAAAATTATTTCCTAGGGATACGTCCAGTGTGATTCAATGTAAAGACTTGATACATTCCAAACAAACTTCTTTGTTGACTTTGACATGTACTATAGATGAGTAGGAGCAAGCAAAGTTACTTCCTAGTGGTACTTCCAGTATGATTCAATGTAAGAATTTGACACATACCAACCTTCTTTGTTGACTATGACAGGAATCTATAATTTCATTGCATTTACATCTGAATTAGTGGCAGTGATGTTTTCTTGATATAATTTTTATAGCCTATATTTTACCCCTTTTAGAGAGTCTGAGAAACCATTTGCGGCTTTAATATTTTGATTTCTCACTATAAACGTATTCGTTGATGGATGGTAACCTCCCAGGCTCTATACACAAGAACTTGTTCATTCTAAGTTGGGGCCATTCCATGCTGAAGTTTTTATACTTCAACTTATGCGAAGTATTTTTTGGTAGCTCAATCTATTGGTGATTTTAAATCTAGCTTTAGCAGACTCCATGTAGAGGACTGGGTCACTCGATGTGATATATGCCAAAGGCACAAGTACTTATTCATGTTAGTGCAAGATTATTATAGCCCCTAGCTCTAGCAGAGAGGGTATGGGAGGAGGTGACAATGGATTTCATTAGGGGTGTCAATATTTGACACGACCTGAAAACCCGACTCGAACCCGATACGAAAATTTCGGGTTCGGGTCAACCCGATCCCGAAACGGGTCGGGTTCGGTTTAAGGTTTTGACCCGTTTGAAAAAATGGGTTGGGTCCGGGTTGACCCGGAAACCCAACATTGACCCGGACTGACCCAGAAACCACGTCCGAGTCAGCTCAGTCGTCCATGTCAATCATTATCCCGCGTCTCTCAGCTCAGCCTCCGCGTGGACCGCGCCTTGTATCGTCAAATCGCGTCAGCTCAGGCAGTCAGGTGTCTGCGTCGCGTCATCCTGCAGTCGGACGTCACGTCGGTTGGCCAATTTGCACGACTCGTTGACCCCGTGACTCACCGCTCAGCCGTCCCGCGACCCCGCTCTCCCGCCATCGAGGCGTCGAAGACGTTCCAGTCCAGTCGACGAGAAGAGTTCGACGCTGTCTGCCTCTCTCTCCGTTGGACGGAGGCTCCCATTTACGCATTGGTTGCTGGTTAACCCGAACTCTTGCAGCTTCGACGGAGTTCCTCTCGTTTCGTGTCAGGTCGAGTCAACCCGGAAACCCGATGGGTCGGGTTGAATGTTTTGACCTGTTTATAAAAACAGATCGGGTTCGGGTTGACCCGAATAGCGCCGGGTCAGTATCGGGTTCGACCCGAACCCGACCCGTGACCCGAAATTGACACCCCTAGATTTCATCGAGGGATTGCCATGATCAGAGGGGTTCTCAATGATCCTAGTAGTAGTGGATTGCCTGGGCAAATATGCCCATTTCATCCCTCTGAAGCACCCTTATACTACGATTATTGTGGTTACTGTTTTCATACATAAAGTGGTGCGCTTGCATGGATTCCTTGAAGCTATTATTTCAGACAGGGACAAGGTGTTCCTTAGCCACTTTTAGAAAGAGTTATTTTGTTTACAGTGGATAGTCCTAAAGAAAAACACAGCCTTCCACCCCAGATAGATGGCCAGATAGAGGTGGTCAATAGAAGCATAGAAACCTATTTGAGATGCTTCTCATGAGACACCCCGAAGAAGTGGGCAAGGTGGATTGTGTGGGCCGAGTATTGGTATAACACCTCATACCTTTCATCAACAAAGGCCACTCCCTTTAGGATTCTCTATGGGAGAGATCCACCTCACTTGATTCATTATGGGCAGAACACTACACTAGTATCCGATGTAGAGCAGTACTTAGAATAGATGGACAAGATATTATCTGAGCCCAAGAGATATTTGTTCAGAGCCCAATAGAGCATGAAAATGAAGGCTTATGAGCACAGTAGAGAAGTAAACTTCGAGCCAGGAGAGATGATTTACTTAAAATTGAGGCCCTACATATAGAAAACACTAGCAATGAGAAACAATGAAAAATTATCCCCATGGTAGTTTCGGCCTTATAAGGTCTCAGAGTACATTGGAGCAGTAGCTTATCGATTGGGGTTATCACCCACATCAGTATTGCACCCAGTCTTTAATGTCTCCCAACTGAGTAAGACAATCGGAGAACACACACCATCAACGCTACCCTCGACATTGACGGAAGATATGGATATTATGGAGGTCATATTGGAACCCCTAGAGGTAGCGTGTGTGCGTGGTGGAGGGGCAAAGGCACAAGAGTTGTTAATATGGAGGCAGAGGCAGAGGCAGCAACCCCAGCAACTGATTTGGTGGGGTCCAACAAGGATGTAATCATTTATGTTAGGAAGGGATTAATTAGGAAAGGAATTTCCTAATTTAAATTCAAATAAGAGAGAGAATTAATTAGGAGGGATACATATTAGGAAATGGGGCTAAGGAGGCGGGGGAGCTTATTTAAGGGGAAGTTTAGAGTTATTTTGTTTTATGCAGAATTTGAGTTGTGTTTGCTGTAGTTTTCTTTTGTGAGGGCTTCCTAGCGGCGTCTAGGTTTAGCGGGAGAGACAATCTACCTCTCTTATGTGTAGATCATTGTATCTTACTTTCATATTTGAGCATTAATATAAAAATCATCCTTTATTTTCTCATCTTATTGCTGTTCTTGCTATATGCTCTCTTGGTTTCCACCTTAAGGCATATCATTATCACACTAAAGTCTTACTTCTCCAAATTTTTTAATTTAATATATGCTAAAACTATATTTTATGTGGTTGGCCTTTTTTATAACAAATTCTATGCCCTTTACTTTTGAATTTTTTCCTATTAGTTTAATCTTTCAACTCACTTGCGAGGACATGTCATCAGCAAATAACGTTATTATGGTATCTTAATGAATCTCATTTCAAATATCTATTCTTTGCACATATACAAGTAATGCCAATGGATTTGAATTAATGTTAGTTATTGAATAACTTAACTAGAGGTCAAAGATTTATAAATAAAGGAAAACTTATCTATAATACAGGGATAAGAATGCATATATCATCAACTCTTTCTCAAGCTGCCAATGGAAGCGTTGTGCATTGAGGTCCCTTTTATTGTTTTAACTTACTTGTGTTTGAAATTCCAGTTACTTCACAGCTATTTATTACCTGTTATCGGCACCTAAAACAAAATTCAATATTCATCAGTCATCTTTTCTAATGTGCCTCCATGAGGCCATTGTTTCTGAGAGGTTTGAGAAGCTCTGTAGGGATAGATTTTTTAGTTTGTTCATAAGGATTTGATTATGAACAATTGCAAGTGGTAAGAAGAATGCATTGATATGGAATTTCAGTTATGTCCAATAGTTGTAACTTCAGGTTGCTTGTGTGCGGAACTTTCAACAGTTTGTGAGTGGAAGGTGAATTGATTCCTTGAGTGTTGGCCTGATAGCTTTTGGTTGTTGTTTATGGATAACATCTTTATTTTGCGACTTTTTTCGTATTCATGATTATCCAGATCAGTGGCTAAAATATTCAGTATTAACTGCGAAGTCTCCAACTCACATCATGTTTTTTTCTTATTGTTCCTGTAGGGTCCGGGTCCTGATGCTCGGATAATTTACATAGATGGAGCTTTTGATCTATTCCATGCAGGGCACGTGGAGGTATGGTTTATTTATTCTAATTTATTATAGTAGTGAAATCTTGCATGTATAGCTTTAGCTGCTATAGCTGTACTCCAAATGATATCATAGCTTTTGATACCGTATCTATCTTACAATTGCTATTCCTTTCTCATCTTGGCAGCCCTAATTCACTTCTGTATTTGATAACTGGCATATTTTAGCATTTATCTCACATCTGCTAACATTATTAGTTTGCTACTGATAACTATACTGATTTTTTGCTTTGCATGTCCTTGTATTGGCTGATCACTAGAGCCTAGGTAGTATGATACTTCTCTTGATCTGGCATTTCAATGTTCGATTAGCATTTCATACGGACACATCTTACCTAATGTGGCTGGTCGGCTGCACCACATAAGCTCCTGAATCAGCCGAGTTAGTAGCATGGGATTTGTCCCATTCCATTTATTTATTTTCTTTTTTGAACTATCAATTACATTGCCTCCATTTCCAAATTTGAAAACAAGGGTTACTCGCAGCCCATTGGAATCAGGAAACGCTGCAAATAGCAACAATTTCAAGTGCATAATTTCCAAACTCCAGCTCTTAATTAACAGCCAGTAGTTTCTACATATAATGTCAAATATCTAGTGTCTGAAACACATAATTTCCAAAAAGGAAAAGGATAAAGCCAACAACAATTCATACTCCGCTGAAAACCAATATGAAAAAGCCAATTGCCATCACCAAAGGCTGCATCAGTTCCAATTCTTATGATTTTGGGCAAAGCTCCTCTTAAGGCGTACTCCTTTTTGTTTATGCTAAATGACTATTATTTGTGGTAATCACCAGAAAAAAAAAGGTTGTAAAGTGCAATCGATCTCTTTTTACAGGCTTTCCTTCTTGAGTTTGCCAACTAACAGCATTGTTTTCCACTTTTCTTTAGTGGTAAATTACTCATTTTGTATCTTTATTATACTTGTTGCTTTTGTAATCCATCTGATGATTTTTTTTTTTTTCGATGGGTGGGGGCATGCAATTCTGAAAGTTGATTGAGTTTGGCGTGCAAATACTAAAGAATTACGCCAGATTAATTCAAGCTACCTATTTTTACTCTTGAAAGTGTTTCCTTTTATTTGTGTTTACACTTTTCTTTTATGTTTAATTTAACTTTTTGACTGACCGAACATCATTTTGTATAGATACTGAGGCATGCTAGAGCACTTGGAGACTTTTTATTGGTTGGAATTCATACTGATCAAACTGTCAGGTAATTAGGGTCTTCTGGCTGTTGTAACTGAATCTATTATCTACTTTCCTTTGGATGACTTACCTATCCTTTTATCAATCTGTTTACATGTTTGGTATTTATTGGTGTTAAAAAAGTTAGGCCATACCTCTTTCTTGTATGTTGTTTACTCTTTTCTCGTTACTTTTGTGAATGGGAGGGTGGTTTTCTTATTCTTTTTTCTACCTCAAACATTGTTATGTATATGTTTGTGTGTATGTGTGCGCACATGAATTAGTTTGTGAGCTTGACTGCATACACGAATACATTTGTAAGAAAGACTGCAATAAATACTAGCCATGAAAGAGTTTCTGGTTACTGAATATTGAAGGAAAGTGCGACATGGCAGCCCTGAGGGTGCTTCTAGTTAGTGAAAACATTCCTTTTGTAGGCTTTAGTTGTACATTAAATGCTTTTGCATGTGATATTTTTGTCCATGACCAGAATTCTTTACTTTTCTCGTTTTGAAGATATGTTTTCCCTTTCCTAGAGTGGTATCTCTATTCAAGAATATGACATTTGCAGCTCTACACGAGGAGCTCATCGTCCAATCATGAACCTTCATGAGAGAAGCTTGAGCGTTTTGGCATGCCGTTATGTGGATGAGGTGATTATTGGTGCGCCTTGGGAGGTCTCAAAAGACATGGTTTGTTCCATATTTTAGTTGCTTACCTCTGATTGATTTTTATCTCATTCATATATTTTGCATTCTACGCTGTTTCAATTGAATACAATGATAAGGATCATTTTTTGTTTATTTCAATAAACAAATGTTGGAATTCAAATGTCTCTAATATTGATTCTCTTGTACTGGAATTTGTAACTTCATTGTCAAAGTCTTCGGATTCTACTGTCGTAAATGCTGTATTCAGAAGGTATCTTTTTGGTTGATTTCATTGTCTTGAGAGGTTTGGTTCAGGATTTCACTCCTAGGCTTTTGCTTGAAGCAGTTTTGTTAATTTGCTTACCAGAAGGACTCCAGGAATGAATTAAAAGCTATTTTTATTCAATGATGTGCAAGATTCAAATCCTCTTTATATAGGATTTTAGGTTCACTTATTGATTTGGTATGGTTATGTTCATCTGGGATCATAGCATGCTTTTCCAAGGATATATTGGTGTAGGTCGTGAAGTAGCAGATTTTTTTTTCTTCCTTTTCGAAATCTGCTTGATTTCTTTGATATGAGAGATTTGTAGATGGGAGTTAGAGGCGAATGAAGGTCAAGGGTTCGGTTCCTGTAGGAAAATGTAAATTTCTGTGAAAGAGATGATTGGATTGGTTGCATTGATCATCGGAAGTGTGGGTGTTGGAAGCGGCAATGATGTAGATGACTAGATTAAAAAAGACCAAAGGAGAACACTTAGGAAAGAAGAACTTTTCTCAATTCAAATTTTAGTAGGCCAACACCAATCACATCTCAGAACAAACAAAAGTTAGACAAAAAACAAAAATTAAAATAACAAAAACTACCCTCAGAACAACCAACAAGTGGTCACCTCACATGCATCGAATTAGTAGGAAAAAGATAAGTGCTCAAAGACATGCAAACTAGAGGTCCACCACAGCAACTTGGGCCAACGTCCACCACAAACTTCTCCGACAAATGCTACCAAATCGGCCAACCAACACCTTCAAAAGCTTGAGAAGAAAGATACAAGTGGGTGGAAACTTGTGGAGAGAACAAGTAGGTAAGAAGCCCAAGACAAAATCAAAGAGAGGATAAGAGAAGTGGAAATAGCTCGCAAGCTTTCCAAGAAGAAATCCTCAGGTTTTTAGATATCTTCACTCACAAAAAAACTCCCCAAATTTCATAAATCAGCTACTATATATAGAAGAGGAGAGGGAGCCAAACAACCGTCCATACTATCCAATCAGCAAAGGGGAGGCAGAAGAACAATAGACAACCGAATGGAGCAGCACCCAAAAGGCTAGCAGGACACAACGAACGAACAACCAGCACTAGGGGGAAGGAACCAGGCAGGCAGAGGAATCGAAGGGGAAAAACATAGGGGGATGAACCCTACCAACAGCCTGAAAAGGTAGCAAAACACGACAATTCACAAGAATGACCTGAAAAAGGTAGCAGAACACAACAGCTCACAAACTAGGCAGCAAAAACCCGAAACAACCAACCCAAGGAGCTTGGGTCAAAATCCAAATCAGCCCACAAGTCATTACATCAAAGAAGCTAGCACCCCAAAGGTAAGACATGTCAAAGAGCACAACCTACACATGGTCATCGGTTGCTTTCCATCATATGGTAGAAAAAAAACATAAAATTCAAATTACAAAATAGTTCAACAAAAATAAAAAAACTAAAATGAAATTGTTTGCATCAGGCAAGAGGGAGTTGGAGGCTTTGATGATAATTAGGGTACCAGAAGGTTTTGGCTTAGAAGCTATGGTTGAACTCTTCTCTTTGAACACCTAAAAATTTAAAGAGATTCATTCTGACTTGTAGACCAAATCTACACGCAACCCATTCATATTTGCCCAACCCAAATTATGCAAATAATCATGCATCATTGAATACAAAATTCAATTATTTCTTGATTCTTCATGATTTTTAGCTCTAAAGTTACAAGTTATTTCTCTTCTCTATGGGCTCCAAAAGTCCTAGGAAGATTTCCAACCTTAGACCCAAATTCTAAGTAATATTTTCACTTAACAAAACAAGTATTTCCTCTTCTTATGACATTTAAAACATAACCTTTAGATGGCCTTTAGGAGCTTTTATCTGTTGAAGTTTACATTACCCTATTAGGTGAATTTAACAATGTTCTAAGTCAAACCCTTAGACATGTCTATATTACCCTATTAGGTAGACATTTCTCTTTTATCCAAATGCTAAGAGAACCTCAAAATTCCTAAAAAAATCACCTAGGTTTCTTTTGATACAATAATTAATCATTCCATCCCAAAAGATGGAATGCCTATATTGTTGGATCTTAAGATTCCATAAGTAGTAGGCTTGCCTCAAAACAAACAGTGGTTGCTTTATGGATTCTTCATAACCCTTCTAAATATGAAATTGATGTAGAACTATAAATGCAAATGATGTTGATTTGGAAATTACGCATGCTTGAACAGAGCTTAACAATTTTTTAACTCACCATGAACTTAAGCAATGACTTTTGCATGCAAGGGGGCAATCAAGTTTACAAAAACAATCACATGCTAATGGGAGGACCATTAAATAACAAATTAATTAATAATATGCTCACGTGGTGTTTTAGAGACAATCCCTAAGTTAACAAATAGATTAGTCACTACAAAGGTCCACTCACACAACGCTCTTGATTTGGGCTAAACTGATAAGCTTTCACAGTAAAACGATGTCACGATTAAGGAGGGATCAACAAAGATACGCAGGGGGGAGGAGTTTACCCGCATGGAAGAAGATACTAAGCCACAATGAAGTCGTTTGGCTGCCTATGTGGAATGGATAGCAATACAAACCCTCTTGCACGCCCAAACATCAACGAAAATTCTAGACAACAACTATGTGGGCGCCAAATCTTAGAACAACTGGTAGTGGGGCTGGAAAACGGGTTGATCCTATATTTCAGCCGTAGGCGGCTGCCTTTGGGATGATTTGGGAGGGAAACAATAAGCTCTTGGCATGAAATTGGGGCGACGACAAGCACTAAATGATCAGGGGGCTGATTTGAGGCCTTAGTGGAGTTGCCAACTATAGCTTACTAATTAAGGAAAGATGAATTAATTCAGATTTCCAATCAATATTCAGATTTGCTGATGGGGATATCCTTCCAAACATAGCCCAACAATTTAGGAAAGGAATCCAAGGCTTATAGGAGAATTCAAATTTGAATTCAAATTCCCAAAATTAACGCTAGGCTAATTTAGGAAGGGGAAATGGGGAATTAATTGAGATCTTTAATTAATATTCAAATTGATTGATTGTGATATCTTTCCAAACATAACCCCAACAATTTGGGAAAAGATTTTAAGGCTTTAGGAGATTTTGAATTTGAATTTCAGATTTTCCAAAATTAACACTAGGCTAATTTAGGAAGGAGAATTAATTGGGATATCTAATTAATATTCAAATTGATTGATTGGGATATTTTCAAACATAACCCAACAATTTGGGAAAGGATCTCAAGCCTTTAGGAGATCTCAAATTTGAATGTCATATTTTCCAAAATTAACGCTAGGCTAATTTAGGAAGGGAAATTAATTGGGATATCCAATTAATATTCGAATTTATTGATTGAGATATTTCCAAACATAACCTAACAATTTGGGAAAGGATTTCAAGCCTTTAGGAGGTTTCAAATATGAATTTCAGATTTTTTTAAATTAACACCAGGCTAATTTAGGAAGGGGAATTAATTGGGATCTCCAATTAATATTCGGATTTATTGATTGGGTTATTTCTAAACATAACCCAATAATTTGGAAATGATTTCAAGCCTTTAGGAGATTTCAAATTTTCCAAAATTAACACTAGGCTAATTTAGGAAAGGGGAATTAATTGGGATCTCCAATTAATATTCAAATTGATTGATTTAGATATCTTTTTAAATATAACCGACAACTTAGAAAATGATTTCAAGACTTTAGGAGATTTCAAAATTGAATTTTAGATTTTTCCAAAATTAATGCTAGGCTAATTTTGGAAAATGTTTGAGGATCAATTTGAAATTTTGAGGGGAAAGGGAAGAGGGGGTCATGATGGTTTCGACCATGGGAACAAGGAGGTGGTTGGCGGCTATGAAGTGCGGGAAAAGGAGAGGTTGTGCACGATCAAGGCTAGGAGGAGAAAGGAGGTGGTCAGTTGGAGCATTGGGAGGAGATGACAATGACGCCAAGCTCAATGGGAGTGGAGGCAAAGATAATCCGTAAGCCCGGACCCTTCCTGCGGCTGACGGGTCTTGCTTTGTCCGCACCTAGGGACTTCACATAAGCTCTCAAAAGAACTCTCAAGGCTCTCAAACAACATCTAGACACAAAGTGCAAAAAATTTTATTCATAATAATCATCATCTTCACAAGGAGGTGAGGCCTATAAATAGACAAAATATAATAAAATATCACAACAAAAGTTCCCCCTAGGGTCACATAAACCTACTCCCTCAAGTGAGGGTAAAAACTAAAAACAAAAAATTACACATAATAAATCAAATTCAAATAAATGTTCAAAAATAGAGTAATCCGATCGTAGCCGTAGATCTTCGGTCCTTCCTCTGATAAACTTTCCACGGCCAGATGTCCTCATCAGAAACCAATAAAATAAAATAAATAATGATTTTGCACTGTTCCACAATTCCCTTTCATAAAAAATGAAATAATCCCAGTAGAAAGTGTAGAGAAAAGTTGAAGTAAAAAAGAGGCCAAAAGTTCTTATTCTCTTCTTATTAATATAGTGATTCAAAGCATTGGATACACGTTACAACGTATAGACTATTCTAAGATAAGTCTATACTCTGTCTATTAGCGCTACAAATTATTCAGTAAGTTGGCATATTCTGCCATTCTTTTCTCCCCTTATTTGATTTTACTCACCATTATCTTGATTTCATGTACTTGGTTTGTAATAGGAAGTGCTTGTAGAAATTTAAGAAAAGCCTTGGCTGAAATTTGATTTCAGCAATTTCTGAAAATCAACGACAAGAAAATCAG